TGGAAGCTTACGTTGTCCCAAATGACAACGTACCTGAGCTGCTCTGGGCCGTCTATCTGATCTGGTGGAATGAGTGTGTTGTGTAGGGTGTCCAGGAATGTGATCAGATGGGCAGTGTTGTAGGGGCCAAGGGTAGCATGGTGATGGATGATGCCATGGTCGGTCATCGCTGCACACATTGTGATGTTCCCTCCGCGCTGGCCAGGGACTTCAACAATGGCACGCTGGCCGATTATATTCCTTCCCCTCCTTCGTCTTTTTGTGAGGTTGAATCCAACCTCATCAATGAAGAAGAACTGGTGCTCCACTGCATCCACCTCCAGCTCAAGGACTCTCTGAAACACACATGACAATATCAGAAGTAGACATGGAGCGGTCTCTATTGTGAAGCACAATCATTATGATTACAATATAATAGAAAGAAATATGTATGATTTATACAATGTTGACAGTATGCATCAAAGGTGGGAATGTACTGTATAGGACGTACTTGCACATAGTTATATCGCAATTCTTTGACCCTTTCTGAATTGCGCTCAAATGGCACCCTGTAGACCTGCTTCATCCTCAGTTTATTTCTGTGCAAGACACGGTCCAGCGTTGATAAACTTACCCTATCAATATTTTGAAATATCTCATTGTTTTCTATTATTTTTCTTTGTATTTGCCGTAAGGTAATGGCATTATTTTCAAGAACCATGTTCATGATCTCTGTTTCCTGTTCAGGAGACAGAAGACGGCCCCGTCCACCTCTTGTTGGTAATCTTTCAGTTCTGCAATACAAAGAGTGCAATACTGTAAATACTGTGTAGGAATACATTTCCCAAATACTCGAAACACAATGTCCTACAGAACAGTCCACAGGTAATACTGTACTACTGTACTCATTGAGTACTGTATTGATATGCAGTACTGCAGTTTTGTAGTGAGAGTAGATTTCTTACCTATTCTCATTGCGGAAAGTCCGGATGATGGATGCTACAGTGTACCTGCTCAAATTTGGCTGTACTCTTTGCCCAGCCTCCCTCATTGTTAGGCCATGGTTGACCACATGGTCAACCAAAGTTGCTCGGATCTCATCAGAAATGATTGTCCTTGGCCTTCCTCGTCCTCGTCCTCCCCATCGTCCTCCTCTTACTCTCACTCCTCTGGCTCTGGCTCTGCCTCTGTTTACAACATTGGCCTCCATTGCTCCAAAACAGAAGAGCTCACCTGTTGCCCTTCTATGCTAAAGCTCTGATTGCTGAGTGGAAACATGTGTGTTAGGTGTTTGCCCATGTGAGGAGTCAGTGTGCATAGTAGGGAAATTAACTTTAGAGTTTTGAATAACAGTGTGTTCCTTGTGAAAACAAAAGATTTTCTTCATGACAATTGTGTGTAGAGTTTTGGAAAAAGTGTGTTTTAGAACTGCAATTTGAGTGTAAAGCAGGAATTGTGCTTGTAGTTTAGCAGAATTGGTTCAGGGGGTTGGTGCATGAGTTACATTTTGTGGTCATTGTGTTTCAAGTACCAATATTTGTGTGTAAACAATCGAGAAAAACTGTAAGATCCAAAATTCTGAGATTAAAGTCAGAATTCAGAGAAAAAAGTCAGAATTCTGAGATTAAAGTCAGAATTCTGACTTTTTTCCCATACTAAACTGAATCAAAATTTTAAAATCAGTTAAATTTTTTTTTTTTTTCAGCAGCCCTAATCCTCTTCCGTAATTAATAGTGGGGCAGAATAATAGTATAAATTTTACCAAAAAAAGAAATATACAAATAATTATATACATTTTCACGGGTCCTATATATATATATATATATATATATATATATATATATATATATATATATATATATATATATATATATATATATATATATAAATATTTAACTCGGGTTAAGTGGCTATTTTTGTTTCTACGGTTTAACTGAACAAAGAAGTGCAGACACTGCAATTTAAAAAAGAATTTACTTACAAGTTATTTTATTTATGTAATTTTTTCTTTCATTTTTTGTGTCAGGTAATCAGGACCTGTTCAGTTATTTTTATTTTATTATTTATATTTTTACATATTTACTACTGAATCTTTACTGGTATATATAGGGTAACTCAACTGACAGGAGGTTTCCCCATTTCTCCCCTATTAGCTCAAACTGATTCCAACCAAAAACGAAGAAACTCAGAAGCCAATTAAGCATTGCTAATCAGTCCAATTAGAACGGATGGGAGTTCAAACAGGCATAAAATTACATTCACCTTACATGACCTAATTAGACTCAGAGCCCCATCTGACCAGCTGCCAGACCTACTTGTTCTCTGGGAGTTTCTTCTGCGAGCTTTGAATCGAATTCCTTCTCAGTGTTTGCAGCCAATGTTCTTCTTGTTTTAATCAATAAGACATTCGACTGGTCTTATAATTAAAGTTGACGTATCCCACCACTCTGTTTTTATATTTTCTGTAATAACTATTGCAGTTTTATGATGGTTACTGCTGTATTTTAACATCTGCAGGAAACATATTAGAGATTAAAACTGAAGTTTAAACAAAAAAATTAAAGCTGCTGCCATTTCTTTGGATAATGTTGCCTAAACCAGCCGTACTCAGGGAATCCTCCTTAACACTTTCTCTTCCTCTGGAACATACGCTTTGTTCCTTAATCTCCATTTCTCCATACGGCTATCTGGAGATTTGAGAGGATGTGGTTTTTTTGGGATTTTTTTTTTCGTCTGGTCACTCCTCAGCTGTGACATATGGCTTTTAGAGGAGGGCATCACTCAGCAATCAGTGCTCAGACAAGCCAATCATGTAGGAGAACAACAAAAAAACGGAGCCATGTAAAGGCCTGATAGGAAAAGCAGCAGCTGGCAAACTCCATCAATCTGTAATAAATGAACCGACTGGTAGATGGGATTATATGCCTAAATGCACAGCAAACCAGTCACTCCCGAAACGACCAGACAGCATCAGCTTGTGTCCATGACCCAATACCAGCAACATGCATTAATCTGGGACTCTGAAAATGATTAATCATTCATAACCTGCCTCTGCAGCCAAGCTGTGGAGACATGGACACGAGCTGCAGGTTAATCTAAGAAATAAAATAGTTAAAATAGTAAGACATAAGAAAATATGTCACTAAAGATGAAAAAAAAATGGCTGAAATCCTGCTAAGTATATTTATCGTCACTATAAATTTTGAATTATTTCTGATTTATTTCTTAATTCTCTTTACTTTTTTAATATAGTTAACTGGAATTTTTGTGGCTATTTAGATTATTCTTTTATTTTCATTATACTTTATTTATTTATTGTTATTTGGACAAACTTGGGTAATTTTCTCATGTGTGACACCTTTATTCTCTTCAACGATTTTTCTGTTTAATCAGATTTTTGTCATTTTACACATAAAAGCTTATAATTCCTAACACTTTCTCTCAATAAACAAATCAACCAACAAATTTGGAGAACATTTAATAAAATGAGAGATAAAGGTTATGACCAAATGCTTTGATGCTTAAATGAAAACATCAATTTGATTCTTTGGTTTTCTGTTGAATTCAAAAGTTTGACATTATTTGCCTCTTTAATTTACTTTAATTATTTAATAAAATAATAATTATTTAAAATAGGAATACAATAAGAGGTTTTGTGCTTCATTTGTTTGGTATCTAAACAATACGCAGCAAAAGATCCAAATTATCAGCTTAAACCTCTAATCCAGGGTCGAGTTTAAAAGCTAAAAAACACTGAAATGGCCCTTTAATTCTAAATGAATGTGTATTTTTGGTTTCTCTGTCGGTATAGTTTAAAAACAAAAACTATAAAGTGGTCAAACAAATATTGATGCGGCAAAAAAACTGATGGTAATGATGATTTAAAGTGTTATTATATCTAAAAATTTATTTTTTAAATAAAATCTGGAAACAGAAATTAAACTTCCTTTTTTCTCACATTACACATTACATCACATTACATTTTATATTCTAATTTCTAATTATATTGCTTTTTTATTTGAGTTTACTGATGAATGAATACAGTTTAATGCAGCAGAACAAATATAACATTAAAACTTTAAATTCAAATATAAAAGATTGAAAAATCTGTTGACCTAAAATATTGTTAGATTTCAGCACCAGCAGATGGAAACAACCGACAGACGCATTACTTCTTGCATCACTTCACAGATCAATTATTAATTTGGCATCATGTGTTCATCAACAGGAGAAAGACAGACATTAATGCATCCTGAAGTGTGACTCATCAGAAACCGAGCTGTAATAAACAAGCATGGTGGGTAGGTGTTAGATGTTCCAGGAAAGATCTTTGCACAGATCTTTGGTCCATATTGTTCAAAAGCCATAATCACCCCCTGATGTGCCGCTTAAAATCCCTCAGGTTAAAGGCCTCACTTACACTTCTTTTGCCTCAGGCTACTCTCTGATTGCTGCCCCTCATCTCACAGAGGGCGGCTTTATGGGAACCCAAGAAGATATTTAGATTTTTTTAAATAAGTCAGCCTTATCTGCAAAGATGTTTTTTATCTCCCATTTACCAATCTAGCAGGTTAGAGAATAATCCAGGAATAACCTCAGCTTTAAATGTGCTCTAAGGTTTTTAAGTTGATTAATTAAATACTGATGAGAAAGCAGAAGATTTTAGAGTAAATTTCTAAAATGCATCAGTTCCAGTTTAGCAACATTTCCATTGTTTTCCAGTTTGGGAGCACAGACCCATTTCAGTGTCCCTGGATGTTTGTTTGGGTCATCAGCTGTGGCGAGCCGAGCGACCAGATGGTCGACTTTTGGTGTTTGTGACACATGGCTCTGAGGGAAGCCAAGGCCAGATCGCCTGGACCGTGATAATTAAAATTTCATTAGGGTTTGTTTGTGTGGGTGTGTGCTGAGAGTGGGTGTTTACCAGTCTGTAGGGGTGTGTCTCTCTGTGGGTAAAGATGCTGGGAGTGGGGACTCCACCTGCTGCCACCTGTTCATCTTCTCCATCCTATAAAAGGAGCTTCTCCACTGTCTCCAAGATCATCTTTGAGTCCTTGGACTATCTGGAGGACCGGCTGAAGAACTTTAAATCTGCTACTGGAAACTTTTCCGTCTCTGTTGGCTGCAGCCATGAAGTCCCGTCGATCCAGCTGCACAGATTCTGGATCCGAATCTTCAGAGACCGACTCCAAGACCCCAGAGAAATTTGAGACGGCAACGAAGCGACGGATGGCGGCCAATGCCAGAGAGAGGAAAAGAATGCAGGGTCTGAACACGGCCTTTGACTGCCTACGGAAAGTGGTGCCCCAGTGGGGGCAGGACAAAAAGCTTTCCAAGTACGAAACCCTGCAGATGGCCCTCAGCTACATCGTGGCGCTCAACAGGATCCTGACAGACCCCAGGAGGCATGCAGCTCCTCACCACCAGTGGCTGGACCTGCAGACGGAAAACTACTCGTGCCTGATGAGGTACGAGCATCCTGCAGGGCAGGAGTTCCTCCAATCATCCTTTCCTTACGAGTTTGACGGCCATCACCTTCATGCATGAACCTCTGGTGGACAATCGGTCATATTGGTGGACAATGTGAATGCCTTTCTTCTAGTCTGGAAGACAGTAAATACGTTTGTATTGCTTTATTTCTTTATTTCTTTATTTCTTCTTATTTATGTTGCAGTGATTGATTTTATTTAAAATCTTTTACATGTTTTTTAATATAAAAAACAAGTCATGTTGAGCAAATTGTTGTTCAGATACTCTCCAGAAAAAGAGCTGAAGCATCATTTTACCCGCCCCCCAAAAAATAAAAAATAAAAAATCTATGTGGTGCAATCTTTGATGAAATGTGAGACAATCATTGTGGTCCTTCATGCAGAGTTAAGATGCCACGTTTGTAGAGTTTAAATATAGATTTTATTTTTTTTCACAGACCGCTATTTTGTTTAAAAGATCTTGTAAAGAATAAAATTATTTTGTAAGACACCCTTCTCCTTTTCGCTTTTATTTAAGTGCCACAAACTGAATGTATTTAAATGCTATATAGCAGAAATACAGATAACAGCAGAGACGGATTCATGACCTAGGAGGTGGGCGGTGCTACTTATCTTGAGGTGGTGCCTCAAATTTTAAAAGTCAAAAGATGATTTCAGTATCTTGTTATTGCTTTTATCATATTTAGAGGGAAGAAGTGTTAATTAATTAAATAAAAATCTAAAAAAATTTCTGTTTGTATTAAATTTTCCCATTTTTTTCCATGTTAAGTCCAAAATATTGCTTTGTTTTTCCAGGAGACAGTTAGCCGTGTGTTTAGAACTGTGCAGTTAACAGTGCATCCTAGGGGCGTTTTGGACTAACTTTGTGTGGCCCACTGATCATAGCTGAGGAATGGTACAAATTTGGCTCCTCTGCAAATATAGCTGATAAAGATGGACGCTTTAGGAGGAAATTATAAAGGGGAATTTTTTATCCTGTTAAATGAAACTTGTTAAGTGCGTCACAAAGGTTTTTTTTTTTTTTATGAATTATGTTTTTTCCTTCTATTTTGATTTAATAGTAAGCACCAAAAACATACAGCAATCTTTAACAAATTTGGTAGAATACAGCAAGAAAGTTTCTATTTGTTAGAGTTGTTAAGTTTCCCCAACTTTAACCTATAAAGAATGAAACAAAGACAGTGTAAGATTTTTCCTGACCGAGCTTTGCAAAGGGAAAATACACAGAGCTTTGGGATCTCTCTGTGCATCTTCGTCTTGCTCCACGCTTGCAGGCTTATTTATTGAGCAGTCAACACATTACAACAGCAGGTGTTAGTTTCGATTACGCAATCTCTTAGACATAGCATGAACTTTTAAGATAGGGAACATGTCTGGTTTCAGTATACGCTTTTAAAAAAGGTGTCGGGGGTCATAAACTTTAACTTCTGTGTTTCTCAAATTGAAAAACAGGAAAGCATTCTCGCAAAACATTTGACCGTCTTATGACGCTGTTTCCACTGATGACAGTATCATAGAGAAAACACATGATTAAAAGCAATATAAAAGATATAAATGAATAAAATGATAAGAACAACAGAAATCATAATAACTTCAACACTATTGTATTTGCTGGAGATACAGTTTCCTACACCAACAAAGGAGTAAAACAAAATTGCTCTTATAGTGTTTAACCCTTTATAGTGCCCTCAGTGAGATACTTTGAAAATAAAAAATTGAAGCAAATAGTGTTATTGGAATCAGGACAAGACTTTATTACCTTTGCAACATTAAAAAAGAATACATATTTTGATGGCAAAAATTCATGTCAATGTAATAACAAGAAACGCCAACTTGCCCGAATATATTAAGAAAAATAACAAAAATAACAAAACTGCTTCTATAAGAAACCTAAACATAATTTTTAAGGAGGCTAGGGGGGACTCCATTTGTAAGAGGTATGCAAGTGATCAAAAACGCTAACTTGCCCTATAAAGGGTTAAAGAAAAATCCAACTACAAAGTAGAAAAGATGCACCAGAAGGTTGGGAATTTGTCTACTCTCCTTTGTTATTTTTTTTTTAATTGTTTTTTTTAGCCTTTTTGTTTGTTTTGTATTTTTTTAATACCACAGAATACGTTAAACTTGTTTTTTTTGCCCCTTTCTAGATAGATAGATAGATAGATAGATAGATAGATAGATAGATAGATAGATAGATAGATAGATAGATAGATAGATAGATAGATAGATAGATAGATAGATAGATAGATAGATAGATAGATAGATAGATAGATAGATAGATAGATAGATAGATAGATAGATAGATAGATAGATAGATGGATAGATGGATAGATAGATAGATAGATGGATAGATAGATAGATAGATAGATAGATAGATAGATAGATAGATAGATAGATAGATAGATAGATAGATAGATAGATAGATAGATAGATAGATAGATAGATAGATAGATGATAGATAGATAGATAGATAGATAGATAGATAATCCTACCAGACTACAGAAGATCATGCTTTGCTCTAAAGCACATAGGGAGGAGAGGCAATGTAATTGAGGATTAAGATATAATCAATATATTAAAATTGACAGTATTGAGGTAAATAGATCATTTTGTAGATTTGAATAACCTAAGAATATTTTGTCATTTCAAGCAAGACATCAGTGGCATTTTGCACAATTCTTAAGACAATTCTTTTTACTGAATAAAAGAATGTTGGTCAAATGCTTTTCAGTCAACACAACACTTATTTTTCAGGTTGTAAACAATAAACAGTAAGTCAACTTTTTGCAGAGGGCTCTTCATTAGAATAGAATAGAATAGAAAATTCCTTATTGTCCCACAATGGGGAAATTGTGGTGTTACAGCAGCAGCAAAAGGTTATAGCAAAAGCAGCCACACAATCTGGACCTTAGAAAGTTCATGAAAATGACAGAATATGTGACAGTGTTAAGAAAATAAACAAATAAAATACTGTACCGGTACATTGTTTTTAATTACTGTTTTAACATTCTAAAAAAAATATTAAATTCAGTCATTTATCCATGGCTATAGTAAACAGAAGATAATCCTAGTAAGAAAAGCAGCATGAAAACTTAAAAATTGCAAAAAACGTACTGACAGAACCTTTGGGTAAATCCCAGTTTTCTACCATCCCACCGTTCGGTGTGGGGTTTCATTGGGACTATTAAAAGATCGACAGCAATGTCCACAATTTAGACAGGGAAGACAGGTGGTTAGAAAGAGGACATGAAAAGAGCAGCACTTTACAAAAGAGGTGGCCTCAGATTTCAGATTTCTAACACCTACTCTGCTGCCCTAACACAGCTCATCACTCCCAGCAGTTATATTCTCGCATTGGAACATGTGACCAAAGCATCTCACGCAGCCTCGTCAGTGACCTGTTTGGATCCTCTAGCAACGACACAAACAGTGAGATGAATAGAGGGAAGGGCCGGTTCACTGGAAGAAATTAAAATCTAGATGAGTCATTTTTTCCTAAAATAAGTGCATTTGTTCTTGAATTGAGGAGATAAAAGAGACATTTTGCCAATGGAACAAGACAATTTACACTTAAAATAAGAAAACACAATTGCATTGTCTTATTCCAAGTTCATATTATCTAATTATCTTATTTTAACCGTAAAAATACTCATTCCATTGGCAAACTATCTAATTTACCTACTCAGATTAAGTATAAATACACTTCAATTAAGACATTTTTACTTATTTCTAGCTAATTTTTCCAGTGTGACTCGCTCCTTTAATGTCACTAATATTCCTACAGGTGAAATTAAGGATTTTTCCACCGTTTTCAGCTCTAATTTAAACAGATCAGGTTTTACTGATACAAACATGCAGTTTTACACCACAGCTGCTCAGCTGTCCATGTAGATTTCTTTGTATTGTTCATGGCGAGATATTTAACCATTACCATGGTAAATTATTATGCAAATAATTGCATCTGCATTTTATTTCCTTTTTTGTTTTTATGTTGTCTCAAACAATATTTCTTTCGAACACTAAACATTTTTTTTTTTAATTGTCCCAAAATGCACTGGAAAAACGATCTAGAAATAAGTAAAAATTTCTTAAATTAAGTGTATTTACCCTTAATTTGTGAAGGTAAATGAAATGAATTGCCAATGGAATGAGTATTTTGACTCTTAGAATAAGATATTTAGATAAAATGCACTTGAAATAAGACAATATAATTGCATTTTTTTTTTTTTAATGTAAATTGTCTTATTCCATTGGCAAAATGTCTCTTTAACCTTCTCAATTAAAGAACAAATGCACTTATTTTAAGAAGAAATGACTTATATAGATTTTGATTTTTTTCCAGTGTGACGTTTTGCGGTTGAAGCAAAAATAAAACTGATCGCCTCGCCCTCCTCCCTGGAGAATAAATCATCCTTTCATCCAGCACTGCTGTGCTCCCAGATAACAGGCTTTTTGACGTCATCAGTTAAATAAAAATATCAATCAGTGTGAAACAAAGTTCAACCATTTCAACAGTTCCTAGTATTACAGATGCTAAATCCCATTCAGTTATGTTCCACCATCATTGGCATTTTTTAGACATATTTTACCTTTCTAAGAGATTTCCTATAAAAAATTCAAGAAAATAATAGTGATTAATTAACCCTCAGAGTCCAGAACATTTCAGAAATGATTCATATTTGTCTAAACTTGGGAGCCGTCAATCAGATTAAGTTTCTTGTTCCTAAGATTGTCAAATTGAAGACTCTTTGCTTGTGTTTTCAATCGCAAATGCAGTAGAAAACATGAGCAGGTTTATCTTCCCGTTCTATTGTAACCTCTGCTTTTATGTAGATAAACACGTTTAATAAGAAAGTCAGATTGTGGCAGTGCAAAGACGCTTATTTTGTTTTAAAGCTGCCTACTCTGGTGTTCAGATATAGATTTTAAGCTATTTCTGTTTAAACTAGAACTTTGTTTAAAAAAGTAAATGGACAGCATATGTTAAAGGTACATTGTTATCTATATAACTTTTTTTATTTCTTTATATTGTACCACATGTTAAAGCATAAATAAAAAGTAAATGGACAGCTATCTGTAAAATTGTTTAAAATTAATCTAAAATATACATCTTTTCATTAAATAGTTATTATCGAATCTGTTTAATTATTAAAAATAGCAATTCAATTATCAGCAGCCTCAGTTTTCAAGTAAAACTTTTCTCTTTCTTAAAGCAATCAAATTCTTCCTGTCATGCTGAGCAGCTTTTAGCATTTTTCTATTGCTACCTATGACTGACTACTTATCTTTATTGATGGGCTCCAAGTCTCTGAGTCTCAAAGTCCTCTTTACCATCACCCTAATCTGGTTCAAATTGTTCTAACCTAAAAGCATTGATATAAAAGCAAACTTAAAAGTACAGTGGACTAAATAATACTACTTTAGCAATAGTTTCAAGGTGTTGCTTTAGTGTATGTCTCGTACCATGTCTTTCTGTTGTGCTGTTCTTTTTTCATCTCGTTACAGGTGATGAAGCAGACTGAAAATGTTTTGTCATTTTCTCCTTTCTATCTCCTCTTTCCTTCATCTTTTCTCTTTTTTTTCTCCTTCTGTTTTTTCCTCTTCTGTTCTATTTACATTGCAGTGTCCATATAAACTGTAAAACTCCCTGCATAATTATAATAAAGCAATTTATATGCATGAAACAAGTGGAACAATATGGCAATTCTTTTTGGCATCAAGACAATTATTCTTATTGCCACATTGCCAGACGGGACACTGTTAAAAAAAAAAAAAAAAAAAAAAAAAACGGTGGAGAATTTTCATGGATTTTCCAAAAACCCGACCTCTCCACTTTAAAAAAAAAAAAAAATGCACATGCACAACCCTGTACCCTCTCCCGAGAGAGAACGCCTATTAAACGCGTGTGAGAGCATGCACACGCCCATTTCTCCTCATGCACGTTCTGTTTACAAGTTGCTGTTTGCATCGCTCATACAAGCTTACTTTCCAAAAGAAGATTTGCAATTTTTCCACTTTGTCAGACTCACCACAAGTAAATGAAAATGGGGATGAGCCTGTAGGAAGGCCTTACGTAAACATATCACCAGAATGATTGACAAGTAGGAGGACCTCTTATTTTGATGATCCACCCGGAAAAAGAACGCCCTCCACTATACCTTTAAAGTAAGGTAAATTTGAAATATGATCTAATAAATTTGGGAAGAAAACATCAATCCAAGGTCATCATAAAATGCCAGGAATGGGTAAAAAAAAACACTGAGAAACTTGTGGAAGGAGCCCTATAATTGGTCCAAGTAATTTGCTTACATTTTCCCTCTGAATTTTAAGGTTATAATTTGAAATTCATCTATGTCTATAAAATCAAGTTCTGGACTTAACTTAAAGTAAGATCTTGTGCTGCAGTTTTTAGTCTATATCAACGCTCCTACTGATTATAAACTAAAACCACTTAAAACTCAGAATGTGTTTACTCTGAGTTGAACGGTGGCACAAGCCGCAGCAGCAGACGACGGACGCATGTGTGCCAGCTTCAAGCTGGGCTTCGGCATGGGGGGGGCAAGAAAGTAAATTAAACTCCATTGTGTGATAATGGCCAAGTGTAATCGCTCTGTTCAGAGCCGCTGAAGCATGAATGCCCAAACACAGTCCTCCCTACGCTGTGCATTAAGTTTAACATCCAAATTATGCACACTTCTTACCCAGCAGCAGCTGAACAAACTGGCAGTGGAAGCAGTTGCTTTATTTTGACATTTCTGTTTCAATTTGTTCATTTAATGTGGAAAAATCACATAATAAGCAAGAAGATTAGTGGAGAAAACGAATGGAAAACAGTACATAATATAGATTATATGAAATGTCAGCAATAAAGATGTGTCACCTATAAAACAAATACTCCGGAAAGAGTGTTTGCTTAAAAATTAAAGGAGAGAAAAGAGCAATGTCTAAGCTGTCTAATTGCAATGGGGCCAAAGCCCTGAGTGACACTTCAATTACTCTCCTCATTAAGTCAAACACAATAGAACAGCTGGTAACGGGAATATAATCGATGTGCAATTAATTGATTTCCTCAGTGGGGGCCTGTTAGCGGCGGAGCTGCTAATCAATGCTGACAACTCTGCGCTCTGCATGAAGGAAAGCGAGAGGGTCAGAGTCACAGAAACGTCTCTCAGCGACTTCATGACGTAGCTGCAGGCGACCAACATGGATGTTTAACGTCTCAAGTGAAAAAATGCAAACAGAGATAATAATTAAATAAATAAATGTTTTGTCATTTCATCCTTTTGTGGTCTGATCTAAGAAAAGCTTTTGCAAAAAACAACAAGCAGTTGTAGATAAACTGCAAGGCTTTCCACAGTGTTCCAAAGTAACTCAAAACTATCAGCAGGAACTATAAAAAACAAAAATAAAACACAAAAACTTTAATTTATTGTGGATTTTCTCCACTTGACGCAGCGTCGTAAACATACATGCACTGCCTCAAATATTTGCATTCAGCACAATGTAGGAAACCAGGTGTGAAGCTTGGTTCACAATCGTTCGTTGTGATTATGGTTGGGGTCAATATTAACCAATATTAGCGTGCTTTTAAATTCAAAATCTATTCTGGAAATTTATTTAAAAATCACATTCCAGTCTGAACATCCTAAAATTTCCACTGTCTACTATCCATTAAGTATTAGGTGTAATTTTCCAATATATAATCCACGCTGTGGAGTGCACCGGTACTGCTGGTGGTAAACTTCCCAACAGCATGATGCTGCCACCACCGTGCTTGACAACTGGTGCCTTGTTGTTTGTCTAATAGCCTTTTTTCTTCCTCCAAGCCTTTGCAAAAACAAAAAAAAAAAAATAAAAAAACAACCTGCTTTTGCACAGTGAGGTTTCCCTTTAATTATAACCCCCCAGCTTAAGTGAAATCTGGGCTCCCAATTAGGAGAAGCTAAATGCCCCCCAGGAAAAGGAAGTTGAGGTTAAACCACACGATGATTGAGATTTTAAGCTGTAATCATAACTAGTTTTTTTGGTGGAGGCAAAGTGAAGTTTCAGTCTTAGAGAACTGCACAAACTGTCAGGCATGGTGGTGGCTGCATCATGCTTAGGAGTATTTTGTGACTTTTGGTAGTAGTAGAGTGTTATTTAAAATGCATGAAATAATGAAAAAAGGAAGACTATGTGAATTTCAGTTAGGTTTTCAAAGGCAATCTTAAAAAAAAAAGACTGGCTGGCTGACATTATACTCCTGACCCGATCCAGAGTCATTTTTAAAATCTTTATTATTATTTATTATTTGGCTTAAAACCAGAGTCAGAGCTATCAGAACAAACTAATTTAAACAACCTCTATCTGTTCTGCTACGCAGAAAAGGTGTGATAACAGTGAAATGGTATTATTTGGGGTATTTGCAGACTTTTGACCTAACTGGGACATCTCTTCTCTCAGTAATTGGTTTTTAAAGTCAATTCAAAATTCTTGTTTTATAGATAAAAATCAGTGAGCAAAGTAATTATCCAGGTATTTGCCTGGATGATGAGTATCATCAAACTGATGTTCCAGAAATAGTTTTATTCCCATCCAGGTAGGGTAACTTGACTTGTAATTGATGAAGCTGCAGCTCCTCCTTCAAACAGCTGAGGTCATCCCTCCATCATCATCATCATCATCATCGCTCCAGCAGGGCTGAAAAAGCTCCAACCTGCTGCTCAGCTTTACTCTTCTCCACAAAACACACATTGCAGCAGTTCAGTCAGAGACAGCTGTGTTACCTGCAGCATGAAGTGTTTGAACAACCGCGCTGAGAGCCACCTGACGGGGCAGGTGGAGTCCGAGCTGGACATCATGGCCAACGGGGCCTGGATCAACCATGGCTACTGTGGATCCCCTCAGCCTCTGCCCCCTGTCATCAACACCATCTATGGTCCACAGCCCCCCTTCCCGGGCTTCATGGACAGTGCATACAAGCTGGATCCCCCGGGCCAGATCCAGGAGGAGCCATGCACCGCTGAACGGACTAAGATGAAGAAAAGAAGAGGCTGTTGCTCTGTAAAAGGTGGGGAAACATTCTAATTACTTATAACAACTTTTATGACAAACATCTGAAACCGATGAAAATATAATAATTGACATTTTCTGTATTTTTCCTGCAGGGTTGTGGAGCACAGCATGGACGGAAAACACCTCTAACAACAGGGAGAAATTTATCCGCACCACTCTGCGGGAGTTAGTGGTCTACCTGGTGTTCCTGGTGGATGTTTGTCTCTGTAAGTCCTCAACATGCTTTGAAATCCTGAATTGATAAAAGTCCAGAGACAAATTTAAGTTTGCAAGCCTGGTTTAGACCCTAAAGGGGATATGACAATCCTATTTTTCATTTCTTCTTTATGCACAGGCTGCTTCATGTCTTGACGGGGTCTACATTTCGTCAATTGATTTGCTAATTTAACAACATAAATGCCCTTTTTCCTTATTTAGCCGTTTGTTGAATGATTCCCATGAGTCCAACATTAAAGCCATTCTTTTTTTTGTTTTCTGTGTGCTTAAAGAGATTTTTTTTAAGTTGTAATAAAATCTTTAAAAATAAAAAAAAAGGTAGGACTACCTCAAACAGAGGAAAACAGTCTGGGAATCAATTTTTGGAACTATGCTGACATAGTTTTGTTCTACTGGCCTTTGAAAATGTGAAAATAAACTGTTTTTTTTAATATAATTCTATTACAATCTATTTCTTGTTGAGTAACTGATCAAATCTGTTTGTAAAACACCCCCTTAATTTAAGGATTTCATGTGATGTGCTCAATAGAAATAGGCCCCAAGCATCATGGTTCCCCCAATTTACTTATCAATGAGCAGTAGGTGTATATTTATCCATTGCTTAATGCTAAACCAAATATGTTTATTGTAGATTTAATTTGAGGATATTAAACAGTTCCAGTGGAGTTTAGCAAGTAGAAACTGTTTAATGTATTTATTTTATCACCTTTTCCATCCAGCCAACTTTGCATTTGGTGCAAAGATTGATGGGAGCTCAGGTTAAATCTAGTAACCCAAGAAAATAGTCTCTGTGTCACGCTATATTATTTCCCCATAGAAACAGGAAGTCACAGGTTACTGATTAGAATTTCAAAAAAGTCTTATAGACTTTGAAAATATAATATTTCAGTTTTACTAACTTTAAAAGGAATCTTAGCAGTGATAATCGTCACATGTGATTCTGTCGAGAGAAATTATTTCTCAGCAGTGGATTCTGTCAAAACAAAATACCATGACTGAAAGTTTTAATGTAAGATTGTTCTTCTTTTATGTTGTTTTTTTAATGCTTTTTTTTCTATTGAGCCATAGTTGAATCTAAATTAAGTGTTTTTTGATTTAACAATAAAAAAAAAAGGGTTATTCTTTTAAGAGTCTGTTGGCACGTTTAGGTTGTGGAGAGAATTTTTATTTTATTTTTTTACCGAATTAACAGAAATCTTCCAAATTAAAAATGTAAAAATGAGCTAAATTGTTCGTCATTGCATAACACACTGGTGTTTCTGTTTATTTGAACAAATCTGAGACTAATTGAAGGGTCTGATGATGGACACTTTCTTCTCAATGCTCCTCTTTTTTTCCACAGGGCAGCTATTGTCCAACCGACCATTAGGAATAAAAAGGACATAAGAGCAGCACTCTTGGCTTTTAGCGATAAGAGCATTTGGCCAGGTCCTTTGTTTCTTTGTGTGGGTTAGATTTAGATTGTTTGGTGAGGCTGTTTGCATCAGTCCTGCGCACTTTAGTGAAACAAATGGCAGGCCCTCAATCTGGATCTATTTAACTGCAGCAATGACCCAGACAAAGCTCTTCAGGTCTTCAATGGGCCCTTGCGTGTCTGCCTCCAGGCTACCTTATCTCTGAGCTCCGCCTGAGAGAAGCGAGATAGGAACCAGAGTGCAAGTGTTAACAATGTGATTACGTTGATTCTTTCAGTGACATACGGTATGACCAGCTCCAGCACCTATTATTTCACTAAAGCCATGACGGACTTGTTTGTGAGCTCGGCCAGTGAAAGTGGAGTCACGTTTCAGTCCATTGGAACCATGGAGGACTTCTGGGATGTGAGTTTTCCCTTTTTTTTCTCCATCTTCTGTAAAAAAAAAGGGAATGAAAAGTATAAATCACACCCCATTGTGTTTTCTCTGTGAAACCAGTATGCCCAGGGTCCTTTATTAGACGGCCTGTACTGGACCAAATGGTACAATAACCAGTCCCTCAACAGCGGAAACCGGTCGTTCATCTACTACGAGAACCTGCTGCTCGGTGTTCCCCGGATGAGGCAGATCAAGATCAAGAACAACTCCTGTAAGGTCCATGAAGACTTTAGAAACGAGATCATCGGATGCTTTGATGTCTACAACGATAAGAAAGAGGACGACCTCAGCTTTGGTCTTATCAATGGATCAGCGTAAGCTACCATCAAAATGAACAGGAAAGCAGCAGAAAACATTCATGTCGATGCATTTAGAGAAACATGTTCCTCTTGTTCTGTAGGTGGAGCTACCACACAGAGAAAGACATCGACGGTTCCTCCTACTGGGGCCTCCTGACTACCTACAGTGGAGCAGGATACTACCAGGACCTGAGCCGGACCAAGGAGGGGAGCGCCGACATCCTGGCAGAACTGATGGACAACCTTTGGCTGGATCGAGGAACCAGAGCAGTTTTCATCGACTTCTCAGCCTACAATGCAAACATCAACTTGTTCTGTGTCGTCAGGTGAGGAAGGCGGGGAGGCTTGCATAAAAGTCATGACCTTTTCCACTGTTCTGTCCATCTAAAGACCTCAAATTTAACGTATTAGAGGTCATATGTCATGGTTTTCAAGCCATATACAGTAGTAGCCGTTAAAAATTCCCCACTATCCTTGATGGGCCCTTAGCTGGTCCCCTACAATTTCTTTTTAAACATCAATTTTTGAGGGCGTGCCGGTGTCGCAGTGGTTAGTGAGCACGACCCATTTACGGAGGCGTTGGTCCTCAACATGGCCGACCCGGCCTGTGGTCCTTTACCGCATGTCTCTCCCCCTCTCTCATACCACCTTTCCTGTCAGCCTACTGTCAAAAAAAAATAGCAACTAGTGCTGTAAAAGCTCAAAAAAAAACAACAACAATCTTTGAACTTAAATATTCTTTCTGTCATGATTTGTGAACATTAAGATCTAAAGATCTCCTGGTCAGACCCTGTAATTCTGTGAAAGGGTGGAGTCGGAGTAAAATATATGCAAGAGGGGGTCACTTCAGTGGCTGGAAGTTGGAGGGGATTTCGCTGGGAGTTTGAGGGAAGTGGGCTGCCATTCGGCTGGGAAGGAGCCATGTAGATAAAATGATGTTTTTAGAAAACATTGGTATTAATCTGTTATGAACATCGTTTTCTTTTTTCTACACTAAAGAAAAAACTTGCCTTCAAAGTAAAGCGGCCTCTCCCCATGTGGGGGACGCCCATTTCATGACATTTAATTTATAACTTCTAAAGGGTTGAGAAAGCACAAGACCTATCTTAGTGAAAATATATCAATAAAATTCAAGAACAACAACAAAATAACAAATACATAACTTAGACATTAAGTAGAAAAGAACAGCTACTGTCCCAGTGCAGATGAGCTGCTAAAAGAGCCACTTTGTCTCAACTCTGAGACAAATATCACATTCTTCCTGACATCAGTCCTTCCAGATCAGAATAAGTGGATGTTTGTTTATAGTGCTGGGCAGGCACAGGTGGTTAAGGTAGCTGCTTCCTGGATAATGTCGGCTCTTTTCCACAGGCAGACGTGTCAAAGTATTAATGTTTTTTACTCAAGTAGACGCATAAATCCTAAAAGGTAGAGTATCAACTGTCAGGTTGGGCGGAGAACTCAAATGCAGAGAATAGGAGGAAGAGGTGAGTCTTGTAGATGTAATAAACATCCAGAGGCAAACAGGGGAAAAAATAAAAAATACTGATAACCAAATACAAGAAACCCTCAGTGGAAAACACACATGGGGCGCAAGGAGAAGACGGAGCAACAAAACAACAACAACAACAAGGAAACAGCAAACAGAGACTTAACATCAGGTGTAAAAATGGGAGACTGAAAAATAATCAGGCTAATCAGCAGATTGGGAGCAGGTGTGCACAGAGGAGTCTAGAAGGAAGCTAGGAGAAGGAGACTGACACAAGAGGGCAGCAGAGGGCAAACAATACCTAGAAGCTGTAAAACAGAAAATCAAAAATAACTACAATAGCACAAAATGGGAATGAAACCAGTAAATTAGAAAACACAGAAAGACAACTGAAAACTCAAAAAAGAAAACAGAACAAAAAAGTGCTGAGTCATGAACTACTCAACTAAAAGTGTAAAAGTAGCATTTTTAAAACTGCTAATAGCATAAAAGTAAAAGTAATACAGGGGGGAAAATGTTAAGGACAGAAGCTCCACTGCACTACCCTAATAAAGGAACATTTTTCCAATTTTCTTTGTTTTATTATTAATGTAGTGGCAACAGTGACAAATTTAAAGGTATACTATGCAACCGGTGTTGATTTTCCAGCGAGGCTCCCCCCAGAGGGCGAAAGTAAAAGTGCACTGTCGTAAATATGCTCAGCTGTTCTCCTGGTTTCTCCGTCAAGCCAGGCGCGGTTGTTTTGAGCTTAGCAGACAGGCGAACGCAACGAATCACCATGTCTACTGCGGTAAGGGACTATTTTGTTCCAAGTTTCGAGTTTGAAAATTCTCGCTGGTTTAGCCATGATGACTGCACAAATATCGCCACTGTGCTAGCAACGAGCATGCCTTTCACTGGGGGCGTGTAGCAGTTCTCACCGTAAAGCAAGACCGACTCTCGCGATGCACGAGACTTCTGAGCCTGTGGGTGCGGGCAGAGGCGCACCTTGTCAACAGGCAAACCAAGCAACTGCTTGGAGCCCCGAGCCGCTGGGGGGCCCCCGAGAGCCAGCTACTGTACATCCGGTAGATAAACAGCAACAGGCGAGCATGAAGTGGCAACGCTATAGTGACTGGGGAGATACACAACTGCATTTAAAAAATTCCGATTGGATGGAATGTTGATTGACATTGGCTTTGGCCAGTCAAAATCCAGCCCAGCCCAGCCCAGGTGGATGACTTCCCTTAATGAAAATGAACGTAGCCTAGCGAATGGGTGACGTTGTAGGCCTATCGTTCAGTAAATTGGAAAGCAATAATGTAACTAAGCTGAAGGAAAATGATTCATTTTCCATGTCTCAAGAGAGACTTTCAGGACTGGCGCTTATTTCTATAGAGTATAGCGTGCGAAGGTCTTTGGATCTGGAGGACTTAGTGTCTGCATTTGCACAAGCCAAGGCCTGTAAGCAGCAATTCTGGAAGCAGTATAGGACCCCAATAATTTCACTACACTTACTATACTTTATATTTTGTACAAAGTTTATATTGGGTTTTTAAAGTAATTAAATTTTTTTTTATTATACATTTATTTTAATTTATTAGTTTATTCTTTACTTTTATTCTTTTATATTTTCCAAAATAACAAGGTTGTTCATGTTTAGAACATTTGGAATAAAAAAAGTTTTATTTAATACATTTTTCTTTGGTGTCAGATTATTTATAGCCTAACATAATGGTGATGAACACTGGTCAGGAGGGCCCCCTAGGATTTTTTGCTTGGGGCCCCCACAGACTCTAGAATCGCCTCTGGGTGCGGGCCGAGGGCTCCTGCAATTGCAAGTACAGTAATTCCCCTACAGACCACCAGGGAGGCCGAGAAAACCTTTGTTTGACCTGAAATGACTCGTTTAATCATCCAAAATGTTATGGAACACAATAATTAACTGAAAAATGTTGCATAGTATTCCTTTAACTTTGCATCATCTTGAAAAACTATTTACTTTGGTATGTAGTGAACAAAAAGTTGGGGCAGCACCAAGTCCAACCACAAAGAAATACATTTACATTACATCAATACATTACATCGGTTTTACCAAAAATTCTGAACAGGACTTTGGTCTGGGCTTTGACTGGACCAGTTTAACAGAGGAATTTGTTTTGATCCGAACCATTCCTTCTCTGGATGTGTATTCAGAGACACCGCTAGTTTTAGATTGCTCTCTAAATATTAATCAGCTCTCCTCATCTACAGATTCAACTCTTTATCTGGTTGACTTCCATCTTTCAGGTTGGTGGTAGAGTTTCCAGCGAGCGGTGGAACCGTCCCTTCTTACCAGATCAGAACCGTCAAACTGATCCGCTACATCTCCACCTGGGATTACTTTGTCCTCGGCTGTGAGTTATTCTTCTGTGTTTTCATCCTCTACTACATCGTGGAGGAGATCCTAGAGCTCCGGATACACAAGTTTGCTTATTTCAATAGCATCTGGAACATCCTGGATATAGTCATCATATTGGTAAGTGATTTGTGGCACTTTTAGAAGATAATCTGCTCTCTTGTCTGATTTCCATCATCCTGAATGGAGTAACTCTCCTTTCCAGCTCGCCATCGTTGCGATTGTCTTCAATGTTTTCCGAACTGTGAAAGTGGACAATCTGCTGGGTTCGCTGTTAGAACAGCCTGACATATACGCTGATTTTGAATTCCTGGCCTTCTGGCAAACCCAGTATAACAACATGAATGCAGTGAACTTGTTCTTCGCCTGGATCAAGGTAGATTACTCACATCTCTTACATCCTGTCATAGTGTTTTATTATAGAAATGATCTAAAGTGCATTGAAAAGGTTTTTTCCTGTCATGGATGTCTTCTGTTTTGGTTCTTTAGTTGAGTCTAAATGTTTCTAGTCAACAAACTGATTTTGTTATCGAACAACTTAAGTCTGAGAAAGTACAAAATGCAATTCAGATATCAAAGAAATAAGCCAAACCAACTGAAACTGTGTCTGAAAAAGTCCCCTAAAACTCTATAAACTGGTCTTTTACTTTACCTAAACCCTTTGCTGTAAGGTTTTAAGTTAGCAACATTAAGGCTTTTAGAACATAAGCAGCCAGTTTGGACTTTGACTAGAGTTATGCAAAGCCTTATCTTTGTTGTTTTGAGCTATTGCCTCTAAATAATAATAATTAAACTTTGTTGATATGACATTGGAAAAAATTTACCTCTGCATTTAACCAATCCTCTTGGGGAGCAGTGGGCTGCCATCGTGGAGCGCCCAGGGAGCAGTGTGGGGTTAAGGGTCTTGCTCGGAGACCCAGAGCGGCAGTCTGTGGGAGTGGGACCTGAACTCAGAACCTCAGGATTCCAAGCTCTATGCCCTTACCCTGGGGTGGGCAATTCCAGTTCCTGAGGGCCGGTGTCATAGAAACTTTTAGATTCACCCTTGGTCCAACATAGCCTCGTGAGACCATCCTGATCTCGTGAGCTTTCAAGGTTTCACTCGCAGATCAGTCTGGAGACTCTCCGTTGAAGAAAATTTGGAGCCGTTCACCAAACGAATGTCCAATCAGCGTTGGCTTTGAGGCGGGTTGAGGTGTGACACAACGAGAAGCGCGACAGTTCAGTCTAAAGAACATGGCGGCTTCAGCCGATGAAACTAGCGTTAGCTATCGAGCAAGTTTTATCAGAATTACAGAGTATTTCTTCACTGAAAGAATAGCAAAACACTGCTCTGGAGGCTTTTCTCAGAGGAAAAGATGTTTTTGCTCTTCTCCCGACTGGTTTCGCCAAGAGTAGCCTGGCTTGTGGTTGTGTTTTCGTCGTCGCTCTGTTAGGACGTCATATGCTTCGTTGATCTGATTGGTTTATTTGGCCCGTCTATCACCAACATAGGCCAATCAGCTAACCAGTATTTTTGCCCCTTCCCAAAATTACTTCAACGGAAGGTTTCCAGATGGATATGCGGAGCAAATCCATCTGGCGGAGTCAGGTTAGGTCCAACACACCTGATTCAGTCTTTTGTCTCCTCAGTATTCAGTCAGTTCCTCCAGAGTCCTCTAAGTTTATTTCATTCAGGTTTGTTGAACCAAAGACAAGTGGTGTCAAAAGTAAAAAAAAACATTTGTTTCTTAAGTAGATATAGGTATAGATACTGCAGTTTAAAAACACTCTGGTAAAAGTTGAAGTAGCAACTTGACCTCTTTACTCAAGTAAAAGTGAAAACGTATGTGCTCCAAAAACTAAAGTAACCTTAAAAAAACAGCAGGATGCCACTGTATGAATTGAAAAATCAGTATTTTGACTATCTGGAAAATTTGTTTGAGATAGGGCCAAGGATGATACGCTCTCGCCTGTGTCAACCTTTCAGATATTTCAAATTTTTTTCCTGAATCTGACATTGTAGCATGACATAGACAATTCACGTTTGCAGTCTGAAGAACACCTGCTTGCTTCTGATGATTTCCTTTAGCTAACCAATGAGTGTTTGCGTTATATGACTCATCCAATTACAGTAGTTTTCACTAGATGTGGATGGAGCCAATGATCTGCATTGGATGGAGCACATGACATGAAATAAATATTTATAAACATTAAACCGAAGCCAAGAGTAACGAGTATCGTTTGTTTAAAAAAAGGAAGGAATAGAAAGTACAGATACTTGTGTGAAAATGTAATGAGTAGAACCCGTGCCCTAACCATAAGGCCGCCACTCTCTGGTGTACTTTTCAACATGGTCCTTTAAAGAACCTTTTGCTATCCGATTATTAATCGATTAATCAAAAAATAATCAACAGATTAATCGATTTGCAAAAAAAGCCATAGTAAGAACATAATCCAGAAAGAAAAATCTGGAAGGTGGCTAATAGTTTTTTTCACTGTAGCGTTAACTTCTGTGTCTGTTTGTAGATTTTCAAATACATCAGTTTCAATAAGACCATGACTCAGCTGTCCACTACGCTGGGTCGATGCGCCAAAGACATCTTGGGATTCGCCATCATGTTCTTCATCGTCTTCTTTGCCTATGCTCAGCTTGGGTATCTGCTGTTTGGAACAGAAGTCGAGTCTTTCAGCTCATTTGTGAAGTGCATGTAGGTGGTGATAAATCTGGATAATAAAGATATTTGACCGTTACGGCTTCATTTGAAGAGTCTGTTTCATCCTCCTGCAGATTCACACAATTCCGAATCATCCTTGGAGACTTTGATTACGACGCCATTGACCGTGCAAACAGAGTCCTCGGGCCCATTTACTTTGTCACCTATGTGTTCTTCGTTTTCTTTGTCCTACTGGTCAGAGATACTGCAATACATTTGTTATTTTTGTGAATAAATGTGAGCAATCAAGCGATCCCTTTATAACTTTATTTTTCAGAACATGTTTCTTGCCATCATAAATGACACGTACTCAGTGGTCAAAGAGGAACTGGTATCTCAAAAAGATGATCTGCAGATTACAGATCTCATCAAACAGGTATGAATAAAACTAAAATGATCTAAAAATAAAGTCAGATTTTGTTAATTTCTCCCAATGTTTACTAACGACACATATTCCTCTAAACCCAGAGCTATATGAAGACTTTCATGAGACTCAAACTCAAAAAAGAGAAAATATCAGACGTTCAGAAAGCTCTGCAGTCCGGATCTGGAGAAATTGAATTCAATGACTTCAGGGAGACTCTAAAGGAGTAAGAGGCAATACAGAAGAAAGTATGCAAACAAATGTCATTATTAAATATGGATCCTCACAGCAGTTTTGAATTTGCAGAATGGGTCATGGAGATAATGAAATATCTGCAGCCTTTACAAAGTTTGACCGGGACGGCAACCGAGTTCTAGATGCAGATGAACAAACCAGGATGAAGATGGAGCTGGAAGAAAAAAGGGTTATTTAAGTTTACATGAGATTTACACTCTCGGAAATATTTATACTAATAGAACTTTTTCCCCAATTTATTCTCATTTTTTGCAATAGACCAACATGAAGTAGAAAGTCAGTAAAGTGGAACCAAGAGAAAACTTGTTTTTTCTTTTTATTTATCTAAATATATATATATATATACATATATTAATATAAATTAACATTGTAAAAGTATAGCATGATTTGTTTAAACACCCCTAAACACCATTTTTACCTGCGTTACCATGCAGGCTGGTGGCTACCTCCAGTCGACACGGATAAAACAAAATATAAACTGAAATTAAATCTGCATCATTTTGAAAAGTGCTGTAAGATGGACTTTGACCGCTGCTTCTTTTTCATTTCCATCAGGATGCGCTTAACGCCGAGCTGAACAACCTTGGAAAGAATTATGGGAAGGAGTTTATGGAGCCTCCTGCCTCGTCAGGAGATCAAAGGAGTCGGACATTTGTGGACCAGGAACATTTTCTCAGGTGACGACTGGTTTTGTGCATGATTGATGAAATGTGAGGAGCTATATAACTGGATTGAAAGCAGATTTTTCTTTCATCATCAATCTGTCCCTCACCATTAAAGGCTGACCAGCCAGGTCCTCCAGATTGAGACATCTGTGGCAGGTCTTACATCCAGAATGGATCAGATCATGGTCAAACTGGGATTAGAGGAAAAAACTGACACCAAAAAACTGATGGAATGACGTAAGTAGAGAGGAAAATAGAATTCATTTTAACTTTACGTTACATCTGCATCCAGACCAAAATAGGTTATGGTTGCTGGTATTAGGGTATGATTGGACTCTAGATTTTACATGCAATAAATCATTGATTCTTTCATTGTTTTTGACAGATTTTTCTCAGACGGTTGAGCAACAAATGCTGAAAGTTCATCCAGAAAAGCTGCAAGTTCCACCACTTAATCAGCTATCAGCTGAGGCGCCGTCTGCTCAGAGGAAATATTCATTCCTGAAAACATTTTAGCATCAGCAAGATGTCATGGAAACATGTAAAATCTATTTTTCATTATTTTTATTGTATCATAGTAGATCTAATACATCCAACGGGTCAATATCTAAAAGTTTTCACACCTTATGACAGAGCACAGTATTGCTGCGATGTATAAACTAAATGCACCCTATGATTCAACAGGTACCCGGGCATGACAAGCCCACATCATCAGCCCTCCTCTACCATGCTTATTAGTTAATGTGAGGTCTTTGTGATGCTGTATTGTTTTTCTCCTGACTTTGCTTTCTCTAAAAAGACTTTCCTAAAGTCCACACTGCAAAAAATATAAATCTCAATAAGTTATTTTTTCTTAAAATAAGTGTGTTTTTCCTTGATTTGAGGAGGTAAGTAAGACACTTTGCCAATGGAACAAGACAATTTCCTTTTAAAATAAGAAAAAACTATTTTATCGTCTTATTTCAAGTAAATATTATCTAACTATCTTATTTTAAGAGTGAAAATACTCATTCCATTGGCAAATCATCTTATTTACCTGCTCAAATTAAGGCTAAATATACTTAATTTAAGGCATTTTTTACTTATTTCTGGATTGTTTTTGCAGTGCATTTAGACGTGACTGAGCAGACATAGAATCACAGTTCAGTAAATGTAGCCTAATTCATATTATATCCATTTATTACACATAGAGTGATGCATTAAAAAAACAACTAGTTCTGTGGCATTTGATGTTTATGTCTTACACTTAGTAAAACCTAATAAGTTAAATGCAAAAATAAAAGATGGTTTTTGCCTAAACTTGCCCACTGGAAAAAAATCAAATCTAGATAAGTAATTTTTTCTTAAAATAAGTGCATTTGTTCTTGGATTGAGGAGGTAAAAGAGCAACTTTGCCAATGGAACAAGACAATTTACACCTAAAATAAGAAAACACAATTGCATTGTCTTATTTTAAGGGCATATTATCTAATTAACTTATTTTAAGAGTATAAAATACTCATTCCATTGGCAAACTATCTCATTTACCTACTCAAATTAAGGGTAAATACACTTAATTTAAGAAATTTTTGCTTATTTCTGGATTGTTTTTATTTAGACAGACTAATAAATGAGAAATTTAAAGCAATGAATGGAAGACGAGGCTTCAAAAGGACCTAAGTTTATCATTCCAACATGCATAGCTCAGGGGATCATAGTCTGATTCCAAATAATAAGACTTATCAGATGGAGATTATTGTGCTTCCAAACCTTTCTAACAAGATAACATAAATTATTTTCTAACAATCCTGTCATTAAATAATATTGAATACTGATTCCTGTAAAGTTTTAGATTACATTTCTACTTTTTCAGATATCATGGAAGTAACCATGCAACCCCACACAGATGGATAGGCAGCAGTAGCTGCTCCTCTAAGGATACCATTTACTGTTTTCCATATTTTCAACAGAACTGTCAAACTTCCTGCTATATTGGGGTGTTAACACAAGCAAATACTCATCTAATGAAGAGATTTTATTTCCTTGTAATTAGTTTTTATCACTGTATAGAGAGGCTTTCTCTTTGGTGGCTGTAAATCTGTGTACCATCTGTGTTGCAAAATAAATACCTAAACATGGGGATGGTGGAAAAAAAAAAGAAATATTGTTACAGCATAAAACTAAGCAATGCATTAGTTGCTAAATATGTTGATCAAGTTGCTTTAGAAGTGAGTTTATTGCTTTATAGCAGGAGTCACCAACGACTAGCACACTGGCACCAAGGGGCCCTCCAGGACCACATGGTGTGCCCTCAGTGTCTCCTGAAAACGGCAAAACTCACCACTGGTCTGAGTTAGAAATGTATTTATTTCTGATGCTCTTCTTTTTTAATCATGCTTGCATTTATAGATTTCAGAATGAAAATATCTAAAACAAATTAGAACTTAAAAAAAACATCAAAAATATGTTTATCATGCTTAAAGTTTAGGTGAACGCTGGCTCCTCCATTTATAGGTCAGTATTGGAAGCTCTTCCTATGACTCAGTATCCATGAAGAAGCTTTAAGCCTTAAAAAAACGTAGGTGACCCCTGCTCTATAGGTTAAATGCAGGACTAGTAACATGATGACATCCAACCTAATTCAGTCCATTGACCGAAAAAGGTATGGTTTAGGGAGTCAAAGGCAAGGCACTGGCCGACGCATGTCACTCAAGAGCTCATCTCCTTTTGTTTAGCCCAGGTAGGTAGTACATAGTAAAAAACATTCTAAAAAAATAAATAAAATTATTGTTGTATGGAGTTTTAAGAATAGGAAAGTATAGAGGCCCTTTAACAGGTCCTAATACAATCCAAATCCCTCCATAAGGTTAAAGAGTACAAAATTAAGGTAGGTGTTGATCATTTTGTGAAAGTAGAAAGGACACTATTCTAAACTAAATAGTAAGAATTTTTGGAACACACCAACAGTAGTGAACCTCAAGATCATCGGGTGTTTCGGCCATTATCACTAGACCCCCTCACACGAGGACGGCCCAGACAGGGATGATCAGTCCCTGCTGTGTGTCCAATAGCCAATTGGGTTTAAATAAATCAAAAAGTAAGTCAATCACAGTATAAAAGAAGAAAAAACTACGAAAAGGTCAAAGGTCAAGGTCCGGCCAAGCCACCTTAGTGTAAAAATATAAGCTCACATTGTGTGCTTCAAAATCCTGGCATTATTCTCATTTTTAACAGATCAAAATGTAATCACAAGAGAAACAAAAATAAACTATTTCACTTAATTCCAGATAGAGATTAGCCATTTTATATTAAACTGGAAAAAATCTAAATCTAGATAAGTCATTATTTCATAAAATAAGTGCATTTGTTCTTGAATTTAGAAGGTACAAGACATATTTTGCCAATGAAGCAAGAGAATTTACATTTAAAATAAGAAAATACAATTACATTGTCTTATTTCAAGTGCATTTTATCTAAATACCTTATTTTAAGAGTAAATATACTCATTCAATTGGCAAATCATCTCATTTACCTACTTAAATTAAGGGTAAATTAACTTAATTTGAGAAATTTTTACTTATTTCTAGATTATCTCTAGTGTAGGAGCAATATAATCCAGAGGACCTGACGTCCTGAGTATTTAACAATCAGATGCAGGATATTTTAACGGTGTGTAAATAAAGGTGAAATATCTGAAGTGTTTAGCTGTTGCATAAATTCATTTTTTGTGTGTATTTGCTTTGCTGTCACTAATCATTGTCTAATAAATCACACGGACGAGGTACAAATGCTTCTTTATTTGAAGTGACTTTTCTAAAAGGAGTTGGCATTATTTTTCAACATGGCTTCAGCAGATCCAATTATCAACAAAGGAGCTTGTCGTTACATTCCACATTAGAAGAAGTGTTTCTGCAGAGTATCTGCTTCCTGGTGCACAAAGGAAATGGCACAAAAAAAAAAGATCAAAGGTGGGGAAACGAAGCTGAAAATTTGATATTTTTCAAAAAAAACTGTTCAACTTTTATTATCAAATCATTTAAGGCGTATTCATAAATTATATTGCTAAAATTCAAAGAGACTGAAATCCTAAGTTTTACCAACATTATGTACATTTTCTTTTAATAGAGGTTCATGATCAAAGTTTGATATTTACACACTCAACAAATATTACTCCCCGTTTCATCTCCAAACTCAAAAGAAACTAAATATTTTGTTCAGCAGACAGGAAAGAGCTTTTAAAGGGCATGTCCTATTAGAAGCTTAAAGTCTACACATTTCAAAATGAACAGATATTCATTCCTCATTAGCCCTCCAGTTGTTTAACAAAGCAGAAAAGTATTTTAAAGGGACTTTAACTGCAGCTGTTTTATAATTACAATGAGACGCTGTGTTCTTGGTTTAAAAGCTGGTTTCAAAAGGAATTAAATGTATAAAGCATAAACCTAACTGAAGCTGACACTCTCCCTTGAGCAGGGAGTTAACAGCCAGACCAAGGCAGCCACGGCTGCTTGTAGGCATAAAGTTTGATCAAATAATTCTTAATTTTTTCAAGTTATTATCTATCCTCTGGTTTTACAAAACTAAACTGTTACCCATTGATGTTTAACCCTGATAATTGGCTTCAGTAGCCATCCAACCCGGAATATTTGTTTTATTTACAAAAATACATTACTGTAATGAATTTTACCGTCATCATTTGAAGATGGATAATTTATGTGGAGAAACGTGAGACTAGCATATAACCTTATGGCTCGGATATTTAACATGTACCTATCAATGCCTGTCAGAGCAGGAGCTGAAATGACGGTTTTATCTAAATTATAATTGATCTTTATTGATCTCATATTACCCATCCCCTTAGGGAGCAGTGGGCTGCCATCATGGGGCGCCCAGGGAGTCGTGTGGGGTTAAGGGTCTTGCTCAGAGACCCAGAGGCTTTCATAATTGAATTCCTTTCATAATTAATTTGCGGATTTTTGTAACAAGAATCTTTAAGATCGTTATGTACAAACCGGCAGACCGGCCTGACCGCACAGAGCTTTTAAATCCTAAAGTAGGGTGCCCGTTGGTTAGGTAGACCTAGCTAAAAAATGTTCACTTTAAAGTTTTAAATTTGGATTAACCAGTGTTAAATTTTTCCTGGATGAAATGTACTTTTTTAACATGTTTTAGCAACTCTTGAATGCGCTCTTGCTTGTTTGTGTCTTCTTTAATTTTTAACATGGAAGTCATAATCTATCTGGAGGTAGAAATCTAAAAACGAGTTAAAAGAAAAACTTAACAAAATGCTGATTCATGCCCTTTAAATTCTGACACATCACACAGACAAATAAAACCCAAACAGCAGGATACAAAAAAAAATATTCTGATATAAGAAATGTCTTAAATCAGAACAAGTTACCCAAGGTGGAGAGGATTAAAAAAAGAAGTTTAATAAATCCTGTTACCAACCAGAAATGAAGACCTGTAAAGGAGCCGAGAAAAGAAAGAAGTGCTTTAAACCATTTAAAATAAAATCTAAAAAATCCTCTCACCAACTTTTAAAGTTACTTTCACCCATTTTAATGTTTTTACAGGAACTATAAAAAGATAAAGCCTTTTATTTTCAGATTTAACTCCAGAAATTCAAAACTTGGCAGCAGCATCCTCTGAAAATAAACCTGTCACTGTCTGTGACATGCATCTCATTATAGAAAAAAAATATTCAAGGTGGCTTTTTACGAATCTCTTTTTATACAAACTTTATTAAGAGGAAAAAAAATCCAATTTAAATTTGACATTTTATAGGTTAAAGCTGTAGACCAACATGGAGCTGATTTCTCCTTACAGCTCAGTGCTGGTCTACCTATAAACTCATTTATACAAAGCATTCAGACACTAACCTTAAAGATGAAAACTAATATGAAAGATTATCCTGTCTTTAAAGAAAAAAATTATATATATATCACAGAACTATTGGTAAATTTTAATTCAAATATATTTTTTAAAACTCTTCCAAAGTGGAAGAATAATTCAGGTTTAGGTTTTCATCCTTATCAGATTCCTGTGAGCTGCTGAATAATTTGGAGGCTCTTTTGGAAAAAATTAGTTACAAATTTTGAAAAACAATTTTGTTTTTGTTGTCTGTGTTTCTGTTTGGAAAACTCAGACATTAGCAGATTTCCTCCAAAGGTAACGACTAAGATTCAAGGATCCAAATACTTTGGTTTATCTTTTCAGGATTTGGGCCAGGTTAGTTTCTTTGGCGTTCTCTTATAATCCAAAAAAATAGTTTTTCATTGCCATATAGGTTTTTAAAACAATATAAACCAGTTGTGGGTCGGGGGTTTGAAAGGGACCGACTCTGAGCCACAAAGGCTATATTGGTTTCTCCTGTTCAGATGAAAAGTGCCGTATATATTCCCTTGGCGTTCCGTTTAGGTCGGATCCATCTCACTGCATCTGATAGCCGGCCATGTTATAATTTCCAACGTTGGACATGGCGGCATCGGGAGGCGTCGGTGCGGAGGCGTATCCACCCATCCAGGCTGATGACTGCGACTGCCTGCAAAAGGTTGACAGAAACCCAGTTACTCAGGGATAAGCAGCACTGTAAACTGGACTCATTAACTTCTTATTTCATGTCTGAAAGAGAAATTAAACAGTTTTAAATCACACCAGTGGGTATTTTTTAAACAGGGTTTCTTCAAGTTTAACCAAGTTGTGCTCTTTTAGGTGGTTTAGATGTAAAGCCTACGTAATTTTAGGTTGTAGTTGGAGTTATGTTTTTTTAGATTTGGTGAGCAAGTTTCCTTCAAAATAGAAGTTTATTTAAGTGAAACTGTAAAGTTTCAGTACAGAAACAAAGCAGTCCCAGTCAAGAAAATCAGCTTTGTTGTTCAAAGGAGTCAGGGATTAAAGGAATCAGTAAAAGTTTGAATTTTTCTCCAAATCATTGTGTGAACTCAAAGGTCTGCTATTTTTTTTAAACAAAACAAGCAATAATAAACTTATAAAGTGATTTTAAAGCCACACCCATATGTAGGTCTAGATCGGGGGTCTAGCGCCCCCCCTTGCAGCTCTCTGGAGCTTTTTCAAAAATGTATGAAAATCTATTTTTTCCATTTGTTTTAATGTGGTGTGCAGGAGGTCAAACAAAAATCAGTTATGTTTTCCAATGCTGTAAAAGTTTGAATAATAAATATATTTAAACAATAATTTGCGTCATAGCCATAGAGATCAGTGGTCATAACTTGCAACCAGCGCGGCGCGGTGCCAGGCAAACAAAGCGGCCGGTGTGTTTCGGACCATGGATCCCAAAGGGGAAAAAAGGAAGATAGCTAATGAGAAAAAAGGATTCAAAGAATGGACTGAATCATTTGCTTCCATTATCAATGCGGAAGGATTGCCTGCATTTTTGCTTTGTAATAAGTAATAAAAAATAAAATGACAAATTTGGAAAGGCATTTCCAGGGAAGGTAAGCTAAATATGCAGCTTTCAAAATTTCCCCCCCTTTTTTTTTTTACATTGTTACCATGGAAACATCTTTTTGTGTAGAAACAAAACAAATATCATTTATGGTTCGTCAAAGCCGCTATTTCATTCGGGGGCCTCAAAACAGCACATTTTCAAACACAAATCTTTCAAAATTCTCTTTTTTATATCGTCACCATGGCCACTATGGAGGACCAACTCTGCCATATTTAAAAATAAATACAGAAATAAATAAATGCTCAATAAACAAAGTCGAAATTAAATTATACAGTGAGACATAAATGTATATAACTCTTTTAATTTGCTTCTTTATTTATTTGACTTTGAAATATTTACCTTATTTATTATTTTGTCCTTTATATTCTTCAACTTTATTTTTTAATTACTTATATTTTTATTCATGTGCATGTTATAATATTTTTGGCTGTTTTATTCTTCCTTTGTATTTTTTTACCCAAGTTATTTCTTCACCGCTATTTATTTCTGCCCGCCCTTTTTAGGCCAATTTCCTTTTTTGAGGAAACATAAAACTTGGCACTGTTATTTACCGACAACTGCTGATTCTTGTGATCTGAAAATGTTTCGGTATCTTTTAGTTTTGGATGTATTAATCATAGTTCAACTCAGCAGTTTTCACATTCTTTGCATTCTGCAAATTTTGCTCTTTCCTTCTACAACGGACTTTGTCTTTTAAAGAATATTTTCAGTTCAACTTCTGTCAGCTTCAAGGTAAACGGATGCTTTTGGACTTTTTCTTTTGGTTAATCAAATCTGACGACATAAAGATGAGTCAGTTTCTGCCATTATTTTGCCAAATGATTCTACCCTACAAAACTTCAGCTGATTCAATTGTTTTTTTTTTTTTTGCATTTTTAAGTTTCTGATTACTTCCTATAACAAGTTTTTCACCCAATTTCTGTTTTTTCCTTTATTCCGTTTCTCTAGCTAGTTCTTATTTTCATTCAGCAGAAAAAAAATGCATTCCAACTTTGCTTTTTTCTCCAAAACAGCTTTTTCTAGTTATATATTTAAGTCCTTTTATATAGCGGGATAATACACTTAGAGCCTGTGTTGCCGTACGAGGCATATATAAGACTCTATATATAAATCTAAAATACCTCAATATATATTTTTTGCTTGTTTGTTTTCCAGATGTTTCATAAATTGAAATAGCAAACATAAATACCATAATCATCAATAAACTCATGAGTGATCATGAAATAAACAGTTTGAAAGGATTATTTTTTTTGTTTTTGTTTTTATAAATTGTGGTGGTCACACTCGCAATTATTTTCAACCAGAGAAAATTAAATTAGATTTTTTGACAGAAGACTCACTCTACTCCGTATCCTTGTTGGTTCCATGTCTGTCCGTACATGTTGTAAGAAGGAACCTGCCAGCCGTTGCCCATGTACTGACCATACTGCTGCTGTGGGTCTCCGTAGACCTGGTTCCACTGGCTCCACTGACCGTAATCAACCTGCCCGACGTGGGGAGGAAAAGGGGGAAAGAAACGCTTGATGTCATTCATCCTTAGACCGCATCTTCACATTAAACAAGAATCAAAACTAATACAACATGAAGATGAGAAAATAATGCTTTCTTCCCATGTATATAGTATGTAGCTGTATACTATATATTGTATATAGTATTTTGTATGTTTTATATTGTATATAACTAGAGATCCTGTATTCTGTATATACATCTAATTTATCTGCACCATCAACACAAAGTCAAATTCCTTTTAAGTGCAAACCTACTTGGCAATAAACTTGACTCTGATTTTAATGACTTGGAAGCTGGCTTTAAAAAAAAAAGTCACAAAGTTATCTCGGCGCTAACAGTCAGATTAGAAGTTAAGTTAGAAGTCAGGTTAAAACCAATCAGATAAGTACAGACGGGACGTGATCAAGTCATCTCCCCTTTAACTCTAATGACGATGATGTTTAGCTTGTATTCAAGTGTAATTTTCTTCTTGTCACTCTTTCAAAAAGGGCCAAATTATAGAGTTACAGCTAACAGTTACCCCCAGATCCCGCATACTCCGTCACCGCCCCGCTGCGCTGCAGACCACCTTCGCAAAGCCTACAGCCTCCGCTGTTCCTCCCGTCTTGCTCCGCTCCGACTTCCTCGGAGTTTGAGAAGAGCATGCGCAATATTAAATTAAATTCATAGGAGCAAAAGATGCGGAAAAATACGATGAATTTAATATGATATATTAAAATATTTCCCATTAGAATATGTGCAGTTTCTGTCCAAATATTTTATTTTTGTTGTGGATTTTTTGAAACAGGGAAAACTAAGATCATACAAAATAGTTTTTTTTAATGAACTATGTTTGTTCTCTACTTCCAAACTCAGCATCTCTTCATCCGTGCCTACAATAAGGAATTTCTTTTGACTGGATTCGATTAAACTTTTAAGCCTCTCGGTATAAAATAAATATATTGATTTAAATGAGAAATCTGTTTCCTGGTATGTTCAGGTAACAATAGTTTATATCCAATCATTTAATTAAACGTAGTTTTGGGGAATTTCTAAGAATTAAGCAACAATCTGTAGTTACCAATCCATTGTTAGTATATTTTAGACTCAAACTCACTACGGATCCAGACATTTGAGAAAGCTTCCTGGAGAGGTGGCGAAACGTCTTCAAACCTTGGAAACCAAGTCCAGTGGATATTTTTTGAATTTTTACGGAATGACTATGACCTGGATGACTGAGAACCTTCATCAGCATATATTTTAATTTAACAAACGGGATCTTCAACGTTCTTTTTCCTGTTTGGTGCGATGCAATTGCGGATCTTGACCTGGCCGGAGCGGAGCAGAGCATGGACGTACATGGACGGGAACGTGCAGATGATTAGCGGTCGATGTGGAACAGTTCTCATTGATCAACATGACAGACAAGTACTCTTCACGGCGTACGTGAGCAGGGCGGAGCGGAGCGCTGACGGAGTGGAATCTGGGGGTTAACCTGTGGATAAATGGGCTGTGGATCTCTGTTATAGTCACCATCAGTTTTAGCCCTTTTTTCCCCCACATTTTGTAAAACAAACCTTCAACCAGCCAAGAACATCTTGACATACCTGCTGTGGGTTTTTTGCCATGTCAGAGGACTCTTTGCCCCAGTAGCACTTCACCATTTGTCCCTCGATGGCCGTGCCATTTACAGAAACGATGGCGTGTGCAGCGCTGTCATGGGAGGAGAACCTTCAAAACAAAACGCATGAGAAAAAGCAGAGAGTGAATAGAGACACAGCCTATGAGAAAATAATAGTTCAGCAATTCTCTGCTGTGCTGCTGCTGACATCTAGAGGCTAAACGGTGTCATGGAATGTGACGTTACCTGATGAAAGAATAGCCTTTTTCTGGGAAAACTCTGACCTCCATGATTTGACCAAACGGTGAAAAAGTCTGTCGTATCAGATGTTCTAAAAGAATAAAAAACCATAATGTAATTCTGATTTCTGGATGTCATAAATAGCTGAGACGTCTATAATTATACAGCGATGACAGAGTGGCTGCTTAAGAATCTGATACTTGCCTGTGAGTCCTGCCTGGATCCCACCGCAGTACACCGTGCAGTTCTGAGGACTCGACTGGTTCACGACGTCATCGAACCTCAGCTGCTTCGAACCGTCTGAGACAAAAACAACAAAACAAATAAGTCTGTAAGCGGTTTCCTGGTTTTAATACTCATAATTTATTTTCCTCAGAGAAAACAGGACCAAACTGAATTAAACAGCCCTGGCTAAAACTAGGGATTGTATACTTTTGTGATGGAAGACAGTTAATAGATAGTTTTTGATCAGTTATTCACAGCATTTTGTTTCAATCACGTTCCAGTTTAAACCTCATGAAAACCTTTATTTTCCATTAACTTTCAATTAAGCAAAAGTAACTGAATGGATCAGTTTTAAAGTACACTGCATAAAAATTAAATCTCAATAAGTAATTTTTTTTTCTTAAATTAAGTGCATTTTTTCTTGAATAGAGGAGGTAAGTGAGACACTTTGCCAATGGAACAAGACTATTTACATTTAAAATAAGAAAAAACTATTTTATTGTCTTATTTCAAGTGAATATTATCTAATTTTCTTATTTGAAGAGTAAAAATACTCATTCCATTGGCAAATAATCAGATTTAACTAACTTTTTTACTTCTTTCTAGATCCGTTTTGCAGTGTAATGAACGTAAGCAACGTTCACTCTGAGAATAATGAGTGACACAGGCAGCTTACACTGGCGTTCAATTGATAGCGACACATTTCATTTGATAACGTCAGGTTTTACTGGACATATATTAAACAGCCTGACAGATCAGCATGTCTAAGCTAGAACAAGTCTGCTCCATTCATAATCATCTCCTGGTATTTCTGATTCCAGTTTAGCAGAGCACTTGGCAGAGTTTAAAGAACTAACAAAGAAGACTCGGACAAAAAAACTCATGATTTTGTGCAAACTGTGCCCACCAGGATTTAAACAAGTCTGTACGTCAGCCACGTCCAAAATATAAAGCTTTAGGCTGTGGTGCGCAGTAAGTATGGCTAAGTGGACAATCGGAATGATTTTATGATCCAGATCTTTCCTGTATGTTTCTGAAGTTCTGGCTTAATTTTTCTAAATAAAGGCTTCACTCCACATCCAGTATTTTCCGGGTTTTTTTTCTCAATATATTATGATCACACATTAAAAGTGTGAATCATTCTATTGTGGCTTCATTTCCCAAATGAACTTGCACTAGTTCATTTATAGGTTTGTGAACTTTTTGAAAAAGTGAACTATGAATGGGAGCTAGTTCATTTTCATCTGTGTGAACTGAGTTCTTTTTAACTATGAACTGGCACAACAATTTTTGATAGCATATTCATACCGCTGCAACTCAAAACAGGATTATTGCATAAAACTGAGTTTTTGTCACACAGAAAGTATTTAATCCAGGTAGAGCGACTGGGTACCACTATATGATAAAGATATTGAGTTGTTTTAAGATCATAAAAGTTACGCGTTTTAAATGACCTGGCTCAACGAATTTTTATTTTTATTAACATTTATAAACATTACTATAATTTGGCATAGGGTTAATTTTAACCCCTATATAAACATCAAACCTATAACTCCAATATACATTTGTCTGATGCACTTTTGTCAATGCTTTTTAAATCTTATATTTGTAATAATGTCTTTGTTTTTTACAGATCAATGTCCAACTTTTATGTAGATTACTAACTATGTATTTTATTGTTTGCACTAATTTTAAATGTTGTTGTTTTATTATGTTGGCATTTTAAACCTTTCCCAGGGACTACAGTTGAAAATTAGCTACTTAGCTAACACTGGCTCATTTACAGAAATGTTTATTAATGTGCACTGTCCCTGTTCAAATAAACACGTAAATAAATAAATAAATTTATACTTGTAGAAGCTGTTTTATGCAACGTTTACACCTAAAGCAGCAGAGGCAGCAGAAGCAGCTAGTTTAGACGCTAAGTAAATGGTTGAAGCGCATCAACACGCAGCCAGACGTCCCGCAGCGCGTTTTGAGCAGCAGGAGCAGCGCGTCACGCACTTCTGAGCATCTGACGGGCTGCAAACGCAGCAGCTGCTGGAGGTTGAAAAAGTCTAGTGGATTGTTTTTTTTTTTTTACATTTTTGGAATTGCTGTGATAGACTCTTCGGTTATGGTTTTATTGGTGAAAACCAAAGCACTATGGCAGCAAACAAAATGTAAGATAAAAATCAATGCAAATAAAAGACAATTCTGAGCTGTGCATATTATTTTTTTTTTTTACTTTTGAGTGAATTTATTTGGTGTTTAACCTATAATCTATTAAATAATAAAAAAAAAACTTACATTAAACAGATTACCTGGTTATGGATGATATATAGTTAATGCTGTATTGCACTGATCAGAAATCTTCCAGTTTGCACAGTTAGAAACTCATCTTTTTGTATACAGTAATTTAAAAGGGTTGATTAGCCATTAATACTTACTGTCCTGAGCACTTTTGGGAGCTGGCGGTTTACGTGTTGCCCAGTTTGTCCTGATCTGGCGCCCTCCCAGCCACTGTCCAGCCATGTGTGAGATGGCGTTTTCTGCATCCTGTAATCCAGACAAAGGAACAGTACCACTCTTCAGAAAAAAAGACACCATAGTCCCCAATGCTTCAAAACTTAAACTGGCAGCGGCAATGAAGAAACTGTGCTGTGCAACTATAACTGTCTATAATTTCAACTGATCAAATTAATGTGAAAGCAATTAAAGAGAATAATAAAAGAAAGACATAACCTTCAGTCTGTGTTCCTGCACTGAAGCCTTACCAGCTTGTTGTAGAAGGACACAAATCCATACCCTTTTGATTTGCCAGTTGTAATGTCCTTCACGACACGAGCATCTCTGAAGGAAAACGTGAGAAAAAAAAACATAAGATCAGCAGATTTTAGAAATACAATTCTCACAGTAAAAGGAACCACGCAAAAGACAATGAACTTTAGCTCCTTTACTCTGTCTTACAGTGAAATACACTATATTGCCAAAAGTATTTGCTCACCCATCCAAATTATTGGAATCAGGTGTTCCAATCACTTCCATGGCCACAGGTGTATAAATTCAAGCACCTAGGCATGCAGACTGTTTTTACAAACATTTGTGAAAGAATGGGTCGCTCTCAGGAGCTCAGTGAATTCCAGCGTGGAACTGTGATAGGATGCCACCTGTGCAACAAATCCAGTCGTGAAATTTCCTCGCTCCTAAATATTCCACAGTCAACTGTCAGCTGTATTATAAGAAAATGGAAGTGTTTGGGAACGACAGCAACTCAGCCACGAAGTGGTAGGCCACGTAAACTGACGGAGCGGGGTCAGCGGATGCTGACGCGCATAGTGCGAAGAGGTCGCCAACTTTCTGCAGAGTCAATCACTACAGACCTCCAAACTTCATGTAGCTCAAGAACAGTGCGCAGAGAGCTTCATGGAATGGGTTTCCATGGGCGAGCAGCTGCATCCAAGCCATACATCACCAAGTGCAATGCAAAGCGTCGGATGCGGTGGTGTAAAGCACGCCGCCACTGGACTCTAGAGCAGTGGAGACGCGTTCTCTGGAGTGACGAATCGCGCTTCTCCATCTGGCAATCTGATGGACGGGTCTGGGTTTGGCGGTTGCCAGGAGAACGGTACTTGTCTGACTGCATTGTGCCAAGTGTAAAGTTTGGTGGAGGGGGGATTATGGTGTGGGGTTGTTTTTCAGGAGCTGGGCTTGGCCCCTTAGTTCCAGTGAAAGGAACTCTGAATGCTTCAGCATACCAAGACATTTTGGACAATTCCATGCTCCCAACTTTGTGGGAACAGTTTGGAGCTGGCCCCTTCCTCTTCCAACATGACTGTGCACCAGTGCACAAAGCAAGGTCCATAAAGACATGGATGACAGAGTCTGGTGTGGATGAACTTGACTGGCCTGCACAGAGTCCTGACCTCAACCCGATAGAACACCTTTGGGATGAATTAGAGCGGAGACTGAGAGCCAGGCCTTCTCGTCCAACATCAGTGTGCGACCTCACAAATGCGCTTCTGGAAGAATGGTCAAAAATTCCCATAAACACACTCCTAAACCTTGTGGACAGCCTTCCCAGAAGAGTTGAAGCTGTTCTAGCTGCAAAGGGTGGACCGACGTCATATTGAACCCTATGGATTAGGAACGGGATGTCACTTAAGCTCATATGTGAGTCAAGGCAGGTGAGCAAATACTTTTGGCAATATAGTGTATGTTAGCAATTCATGACCTAATGCTGACTTCTTGAAAATAAAAAAACAAACAAGAACAAATACATGCAGTCTAAAGTATTCTTGAAATCATCTCAAGGTGTTTTAATAAATCTTAACCACTAGAGCACCACATGTTGGCTCAATCCTCACAGCAATAGGCTAGTGATTACCATGCATTTCTAAAATGTGCTGTAACTGCTATTCCTACAGACAGAAAAGTATATAGAAAATATCAGAAGAAAAAAGGAATTAAATGGCATACGTGGCCTGTTAACAGATTTCTGTATTTTTCCTGGTCAATTCTTTACCACCATTATGCCGTTTGGACTTTGGGCAGCTGTGAATTTTAAGAAATTGACATTTTCAGAAAATTTGGAAGAAGAGGATCATTGTTCTACAAACAACACTACACAAATCAAAATGAGACAGTTGAAGCAGAGGCGTTTATATAGGCTAGATAATTCATACATGGAATCTGCAAATAAAGACATATGGGAATGAAACTGAATGAATAGAGGAAGAAGAACTACATCTGAGTCTCCAGAGTGAACAGCTCCTTGGTTTTAGCCTTCAAGCTGCTGTCCAATCCTATCAGCATTTCTGTAAAATAACCAAATTGCTATTACTTCACTGTGAAGTACTTTTAAAGGCGGCTCTGGTTCATAAACAATGCTTGCATTTTGCTCTGAGACGGGCGCTTCACTTACCACCTCTTTACATGGGGATAAAACGCAAGAGCTGGTTAAAAGCAGACATATTGTTCACAAATATGGCCGACGTACAAAAAACACTCCATACGATCGTTTAAAAATGTTAGAAAAAGCGAGTCAAGACACACTGCTTTGCAAAAGAACAAATGTGAAGCTTTATGTCGTTTTGATAGTTTTTAAAGGTTATTGATCTCCTGAAAAAACAATTAAAAAAGCATTTAAAAAAAATTAAAAAGCATTTCCAGAAATGCTTTTTAATTTTAAGAATGTGGCTGTATTGTTTGACTCATAAATAAAATAAGTAATCAATAATCCTGTTTGCATTTTCATTTTCTTCTTTAACGCTGCTCATCCTTTTATTTAATTAAAATGAAAAAAAAAAAGACATTTGAGATTTATTTTTCAAAATGTACCCCAGCAAATACATACCAAAATTCAATTTGAAATGTAAAATTTGAAAATGAAAAAGCATTTCCAGAAATGCTTTTTCATTTTAAGAATGTGGCTGCATTATTTGGCTCATAAATGAAATTAGTGAGCAATCATCATATTTGCATTTTCATTTCCTTCTTCAAAACTGCTCACCTTTTTACTTAATTAAAAAAAAAAAAAAAAAAGACAGTTGAGATTTATTTTTCAAAATGTACCCCAGCAGATAGATACCAAAATTCAATTTGAAATGTAAAATTTTAAAATGAAAAAGCATTCCCAGAAATGCTTTTTCATTTTAAGAATGTGGCTGCATTATTTGGCTCATAAATTAAATTAGTAATCTATAATCATATTTGCATTTTAATTTTCTTCTTCAAAACTGCTCATCCTTTTACTTAAAAGAAAAAAAAGACATTTGAGATTTATTTTTTAAAATGTACCCCAGCAAATACATACCAAAATTCAATTTGAAATGTAAAATTTGAAAATGAAAAATCATTTCCAAAAAATGCTTTAATTTTCGAGTTTTACCTCAAATTTAGTTTAGATTTAGGTTTATTTTTTATGTGGATCATCTTAATACATGCATACATGTTGATCTAAATCAGGGGTGTTTAAAGTCAGTCTCAATGGGCTGGCCTTCTGCGTGTTTGTAAAGACTTTCTGCTATAGGGCGTTTTTTTTTAAATGGCTTACTAAGCTCCTATGGATCTTATCAAGAACTCCAGGGACCGTTCAGAAACGGGGAAACATCTAAAACACGCTGGACGTCAGCCCTTTTTGAAGGACTGATCTAAACTATTTGACTGTAGTCCTGTTTTCAACATAAACCTCTACCTTCAACTAAAGTATTTTGCAGGAGGCTCTTAATTAATTCACTGTTCATGGTGAAGGAAAAGCATCCAAATATCATGATGCTGCCACCACCATGCTTTACCCTGGGGTTCATGTATTTTATTTTTTTTTCTGCCACAGATTCTTGCAGGTTTTCCGTATTGTGGGCTTTTCACTTCATGTCACTTTTTTCATTAATGTAATTTTTCTTGGGAATCTGCTATATTAGCCAAATTTTTCTAAGTGTAAAACTAATTCTTCCCACCTATGGTGTGGCTTTCTGCTGCCTCTTCACTGTTGATTTCCTAAGGAGCTTTTTTCTTTGCTGCTTTATAACTGCTCTCCTTTCCTTGGCTGCGAGTTTAGGTAGATGACTGGGTATAAGCTAGTTTGAAGTGCTGTTACACTCAAAAGAGTTCTGCTATATTGTTTTACAGTTTAACAGTCTCTGTTTATAAAATCTCCAAAACCTATTTAACCTGTTTAGTGCCCCCCTTAACCCTTAGGTAACTGGTTTCACTGGATTTTATTAAGAGGTAACAGGAGGGCTCTGAATAAATATTCAAACCACAGCTCTTCCAGGCAGGTTTTCATTTCACTTCAGAGCTACGCTCTAATTATTTGTTTATCACACAAAATCCCATTAAGTTACACCAAAACGTATGGTTACTAAATCATGTAAAATGTAAAAAGTAGTTAATACTTCAACTAACCATGTCTACATGCATGAAGAAAATATACCAAAACACCAAAGTCTAATCTGAGAGGATGAAAACCTGCAGACAAGCCACTTAAAACAGCTTTGGATTCATTAATTTTGCAAGTAGGAGTTGGAGATGCATTAGCTCCCAAGGCGAGTGGCTGTGGTGTACAGTAAGTATGGCTAAGTGGATAATCTGTTGAGAGAAATCAGCCCTAAATGCACTCATAATTTTATATTTTACAGGGGGTTTAAAACCCTGAGTTGAATGCATGTAAACATGGTCAAATCACAGGCGGCATTGTTAGAGTTTAGGCTTAAACGGCAGTTTTAAAAAGCAGTGGACACCCATCTTATGAAAAACCAAATGTCTGGCAAGAAAAAGATGGACTTACAACAAATAATCGAAAAGAAAATTAACTTACGAGATTTTCCCAAAAGGACAAAATGCAGCCCTGACATCTTCAGTAGTTATCTCTGGATTCAAATCCCCAACAAAAACATGATAGTGATCTAAAGAACAAAAAACACAAAAGCACTTTAATTAAAATGACCTAAGAAAAAATACAGAATATAAAAGAAATGCCTACAGTAGGTAAAGTGAGGTGTGTCAGTGACAAAGCAAATAGGTTCACATAAAACTATTAAAAATTAAAAAGAACAAAAATCCCAAACAGATGAAAACAGACTATAAAGAAAGGGAAAAAATAATAATACCATCTCAGGAAAATAAAAATATTATGCAACATGGGCAGATCAAGGCAGAGGCTAACAGGAGGACTGTTATGGCCCGTCCACTGAAGACCTAATACTAATAAAACTTTAACCGATCTGAGCAGGAACAGACTCAATGACCGATACATTTCTTGGACCCATTTCATTTTTTTAATTTATAATTCCGTTTTCATTATGATATAAAAATAAAGGCGATAACTTCAGTCATATTCATCTGATAAATGTCGTTTTGAAACAAATGAGGAAAAAAAATAAATAACTCTAGTTTGTGACAGTTAAATTAATGTTCTACTCCTAAATTAATTAAAACTGGTCATTTTTATTTAAAATATGTCATAAAATATATAATATTATGAACTTAACGTTCCTAAGAACAGATTTATTTTAAGTTTTAGTAGATATTTATTTAGCAACTAATTATATAAGGTAACTATATAATTAGTTGATTTGTAATTAGGAATTACAAATCAAAATACACATTTTTAATAGGAACAAAATAAAATCTAAATAAAGTAAAATACATGGAGATAAAGTTTTAAATGGACTTGCTGCTCCTCCTCTAACAGATTTTATAGGCGTAGGAACAAATTTGGCCAAATGGTTGCATCCATCGGAGGAGCACAGTTATGGAACACACTGCCAGCTCATGTTAGGGGCTGTGTAACCTACATACGTTTTAAATTCTCCTTGAAACATTGGTTAAAAACTAACCAGACATGTGTTCACAGGTAAATTGATGTGTTTCCATGGGCCTGTTAACCTCATTTTATTGTGATTTTATGTTATTAGCATCTTATCCGTTTGTGTCCACTCTGTTCTCTCGTGTAGCGTCTTGTTTAATGTTCACCGTTTTTACCTGACTTAGGACAGCGGATGCAAATTAGCTGTTTTGCTAATTCTGGCAAATTTACATTGATGCTTTATGCTGACATATTGATGAATGTGCATTGTCCTAATTCAAATAAATAAATAAAAAAAATAAAAAAATAAATAAAGATGTTTCATTCAGTGCGCAGCCACTGAATATTATATGTGTTATTATAAAGTAAGATGATAAACTATTTCATTGGTTTTTTTGTTTTTTTTTTGTTTCATGCTTTGCTGTGCCACATGGAATCATGCTGATCCCTTCTTGGCCCCCCTGGTAAATATGGGCCATAACTGCCACGGCTTTGCAGCAGTTCTAACAATTGTTAAGTGAAACTGAATGAAAAAAAGAAAGGTGAAAATACTGTGCAGCTCATAGCTTGGCTGTACACAGGAAGCTGTTATGATTCTAAAGTCTAACAGCAGGTCAGAAGGAGGACCTGTGAAGGAGTTCATCATGTGGTGGGAGAAATTGTCCAATTGTGATGTTATTTCTGACATCATCCTTATGTCTCACACCACGTTCACTGAGTTGAGGGGATATTCAAACACAGATCCAGCTTTCCTATGAGCTTCCCATTAGAAACACAGACTCTGGTCATCGTTCAGATTAAAAAATAAACAATAATGAAGGACGGTTCACTTACTGGATGTGTCTTTCTTCTGGCTACTTGGGGTGGTTGCCCAGTTAACTTTAACTTCCTAAAAATATAAAAGCAAAGGTAGAAAAAAAGCAGGTACTGACAAAATCAAAATATTAAAAGTAAATATTGTTAACAAGAGACCATTTTTAATTCTGTTCACCCAATACTCTTCTTACCTTTCCTAGAATCTTCCTGCCATTCATGGCTGCCAGGGCTGCGGCAGCATCTCTGCGTTCATAGAACTCCACAAAACAATACGGATCATTGCTTGTGTGCTGCAGAAGAACCAGACAACATAGTCATTTAAAATGCTTCCTCAATAGTTTTACAAATCATAAAATCATCCCAACGACCCCGTTAGAACATTAAAGTTAATTTTGATTCACTGAGCAAACAGGGTGACATTTCAATTGCCAATTTTGTTATATAAAACATAACAAGTTGTTGATCTTGATATTTGCTAAACAAATCGGTTATGTAGTAAAACAAGTTATTTTCTACTGAAACGAATGACCAGAATAGAGACCATTTTATCCAAGAAAGAATAACTGAGTCCTGTATTACACCATGTATTGATTATTTTAATGTGTTGTACAACTGGATTTGACGGGCTGATCTCTGTTGCCTTTAGCTCATCCTAAATCCAGATTGTCGTCTTCCAACTCAAATGTATTTGCAATCACATCTCTCTCCTTCACTTGCTCCCTGTTTGCTACAGATTTCAAAACTCCTGTTTGTAAAGGTCTTAAAAAGTCTTGCTCCACTCGTTCTCTTCATTAAGGGCTCTACGTTCAGCCAACCAGATGTTTGTTCCAAAGGCAAAGATGAAGCTCAGAGAATATCGGGCTATTGCAGTTGTTTCCCCCAAGTTATGGGATGGTTTGCCTTAAGATGTTAAGTGGACGTTAAAGACTCACCTTTTTCCCCTGCATGGGTGGTTGGGTCAAGTTGTGAGTTTAATTTTATGTAATGTTCTTAATGTAAAGATTTTAGGTAAACTGTTTCAGGAAAAAAAAAACTTGCTGGCTTTCATTATCTGTAAGGGGTAGTATTCAAAATTAACACATATCAAGAGCATTGATTATATGAGTCTAGGTGTAATAAATGAAGTTTTTTTACTTTACTGAAATAAATGAGATTTTCCTTGATATTTAGGTTCATTGAGATGCACCAGTACTTAACTGAAGTCAAGCCAGCCTTCACTTCCAGGGCTCGATGTTAACCGTTGCCCGATCTCCCGGGGCAAGTAGTTTTTATTGTCGGGAGAGTACAAATTTCATTGCATCTGACCACCGGGCAAGTGCAATGATCGCAAAAAAAAATATTTATCACTCAAAATTACTTTAAAATCACCGACATTCGATGAAAACGACCCAGAAGCATTGCCGGCGCCATTTTTGTTGTTTTGTACACATTCTCGCGTGATTTGGAAAAGCTGCGTGATTTTCCGCCAGATGGCGTGATTTTTGTCAGACACATTTTTTTAGAATTAGCAGGCTAAAAAACAACCACAAGGCAAAATTGTGTTTTTAAATAAAATACATTAAAGCTTTTGGATATCATGTTTTAATTTAAAATGTATGAGTATAAAAGCTATATTGGAGGATTTTTTTAAAAGACCCGCCCTCTCCACTTAAAAAAAATAAATAAAAATTTGTTGTTTCAAATGTGCTGTTCTGTCCACATACAGCGGGGACTATATAGTGGAGAGCTCTCGGCGCAAAGCATTCTGGGATATATGTTCCTCTTCTGAGGCCATTTTTTAAAGAACCATAGTGAGAAAGGTGAGCTTCAATGACTTTCTGAATCCGTAGCTCATCACACATATACACCTGAAGGTGCACATGCACAGAAAAAGATAGCTAACGGGAAGAGCACTCGCCAGAATTATTGACAATTCGGCGGACCACTTATTTAGATGATCTACCCGGAAATAAAAGATCGTCCCATACCTTTAAATGGCCAAAACGCTGCCCTAAAATTCTGTTTTAGATTTAGCTCAAATAAAGTACAGCCAGAGTCCTCCTGCGAAAGCACCAACTGTGTCAATAACTAGCGACCAAAATAGGACCTAAAGATAAATACAGGTAAAGAAAATAATAACTGATTAGTTCACCCAGAACTTCAACCACCAACTTTCAGCTGCTCTTTTTTGGCAGTGGGCTGTAAACAGCCACTTACATCCACCAAACTGAAAACATCTTCCCTTAAATCCTCCCAGAACAGCTCCATCTAGCTTCTTAGCTATGTTACCTTTTAGGAATAACAACTAGTTAGGAAAAGCAAAAGAAAGGAACCACACCACATACTAATAGAAATAGGGACTGGTAAAAACAAGGACCCCGTGTTGGTCGAAACCCCCACTACAAAAACCCTTTCACACATTACAACCAGCTGTTCCTCTAATTAGATAAAGATTATGTTGCTAGAGGTCTGTAACCAGACTCTAGAACCTACTGGATTCCCCCTTATATGTCAACACTGGAGTGATCTGTAACCAGACGCACCACTCAGTCCTCTTAAAAGTTATGTTTGATTCAAATAAAGTGACCGATAATCAGACAATAAACTCATTAATAATGAAAAACCTCCATACAAGACACCCAAAAGGGTCTAAGCAAATAACCAGCAACACTAGCCCCTCTAAACCACATAAATTAGGGTGAATCCTTGCCCCCCAGAAAAAAAGGTTGGAGGATGTGTAGACTTAGGAAAAATCAGACTGAGAAAAATTATGGAATACCAAAATAAAGATATTATATTGTTGAAAATTCCACATCAGATCTTACCACCGGAAAGCTGGGGGTAATTCTATGATACCCGAGTTGCCGAGATAACAAACTTTGACCTTTCAACATGGCAGAGAGCAGCAAAATGATTCTGTATGGCGAATACTGCATCTTTAAGCGTTCTGTCCAGATGTGTTTGTAGCCTACACAATGTTGTGAGAAATACATTTTAAAATATACCATCAATTAAACTATTGTTTGATTTTATCAGATGCTCTCTAGCAGTCAGTCGATGCATTTGATGCGTCTACTTCTTCATGCAGCAGATTAATTATGAGGTCTATTACTGTTTTGCCCAAGTAGGATCAATTCAATTCAGTTTATTTATATAGCGCCAATTCACAACACATGTCATCCCAAGGCACTCCACACAGTCAAACCGATTCAAAGACTTCCATCTAAGGAAAACCAGCTGATTGCATCGACTCATTGACTCGGATTCAATACCTCACACTAAGCATGGTTATAGCGACAGTGGAGAGGAAAAACTCCCTTTTAACAGGAAGAAACCTCAGCAGAACCAGGCTCAGTGTGAGCGGCCATCTGCTGAGGCCGACTGTGGTTCAAGGAGACAGAAGCAGAGATGGCCCCGTCCAGGACAGGTCCGAAAAATCTTTGGATCCAACATGTTTCTCTTCTCCGCCACAACAAAAGTACTTGAACACAATGAGCTGTTAATTAATAGGGGTGTAAATAATAATCGTTTTGTATCGATCCAACAGCCGTCGATCCGATACATCGACAGGTCCACATGAGTAGCGACTCATGTTTTTTTCCCCCCTCCGGTCTATTTTTATCCATTTGCTCCTGGACGTAATTCTTCCTCCCGTGCTGCGGTGGTGCTAAACCTATTTTGCCCTCCTACCTCACTTCCTGGTTATTCTCTTGCAGCAGTGTGTCACAGGGCGTTTCTCAATTCACGAGAACGCGAGTACATACTCGCGTTCTCGTCAAGTCCGTTCTTGGCGAGGACGCAGGAAGATCGGACTTCACAAGAACGCGAGCACGCAAGCACGTATGTGTATTGGAGCAGAGCATACTCGTGACGTCATCACAGGCAACGTTGTTTAGCATTTCTTTAACAGTGAAAACTATTTATTCCCTACACAAAATATTTTGAAAACAATATTTTTAATTTCTAAAGCTTAAAAAACATTTTAAAAAATTACCGAACCGCAAAAAACCGCCATCAGAACGAGCGGTAGTTCACACATAACTAGACCGAGAGAAGTGCGCTACAGACGGGGTAACATTAGCCCTGGCTGCGGTTACCCTCGGAGGTCTGCTGGTCACTCTGGTCCGCTCAACGTCGGACTTTTTTTTTAAATTTTGCCCTAACTCTGTAAACAGACCACACAGGGAGGCTTAAATGTATAATGTTATCGCCTCAAACGATTTCAAAACGTACTTTTGAAGAACAACAGCAGCAGAAAAGGGAATGTTTAACTTAACACTGTGAGCGCTGTCTCAAATCAAGCTGCGGCCGCGGGGCATTCTGGGGAAGCGGTCAGTCTGAAGAACGCACAAGTCTGCTCTGATGCATGCTCAATAAAGAGGGCGGGGTGAGAACAACATCCGGGGATTTGATGCGTTCTCGATCTGGCGTTCTTGAGAAATGGAGCGGTACTCGGGCTGAGGCTGATGACGTGTCACGAGTACACGAGCACACGAGAACGCTCAAGAACGCATATTGAGAAACGCCCACAGTGAGCTTGACGCAGACATTTTGATGTATGCAAAATATCTAAGCGTGGTCTGCGCTACACAGTGTGGGTCTAGATACGGCCGAGGTGGTGTGGAAGTGGAGGCGGCTTTGTCCGACAACGGAGGGACATGACGGTGAAAAATAGAGGGGATCCAGGTGAAAAAGGGGTCCCAGCGTTCTTGCGCACCTCGCCCTTCTAGCTGGTCCAACTTCATGAGTTGTTTTCCGCAATTTCAGTCATAAAAACAAAACAAGCCGGCCTCCTGTCTGCAGCACTGTCTGCGGTCAGTTACATTTTGGGAGAGGTGCAGTGGTGATGCAAGGCCTTTCAGAATCTATAACGCAGGGGCATTATTACTTTTCAGTGAAATTCCTACTTCTGTTATTTGCTGTTTTTTCTCAAGTAAAATGCATAACGATATTACAGCTTTCATTGATTTATTTCAAATTTGAAACATTGTCTAGCCTGTAAGGTAAAAAAAAAAAAAAAATGAACAAATTAATCGAATCATATCGTGGTGTATTCTTGAGTATCGAAAATAATCGGAAATAGATACTTAATCGAATCACCATGATGGGTGTGATTTACACCCCTAGTAATTAATGACCATCTTTACCAGACAACATGAAGGCGGCATTAGATGTTGAAGGACAAACAACCAAACCAGCATCCTGGATCTTTACCTCTGTGATCATTTTGCAGCTTTTGCAGGGTCCTATCTGGGTGAAGAGTTGTAAAATCAAAATCTCTGTAACATCCCTGGAGAGGTTCCCCACATACCTGAGAAATAAAAGTGTGTTTATTTAGTTTTATATATTTTTTAACCGTGTACTTCAAATACAGTAAGACTGTCATCCGAGTGAAGTGTAATTTCTTTCGATTTGAACTCAGGGAGGGTAATTGGGACGTAAAATTCCAGGCCTAGTGCTAAAAATAGCCAATACATAGTTTATTGCTAATACATTTATTTACGTACTTATTTTCATAATTATACCGAATAAATCTATGTGCTTGAAACACTAAATGGTCATTTTTGGGTTGCTATCGATGGTCATAATGTTGAGTAGCTAAGTTAGCCACCGGGTAGACGTTAGCGAACGCTACGAAATCAACCGCTAATATTAAACACTTCATTACTCACAGTGTTCTTGGGTAGCTTTCGTCGTCCATAATTTATATCGACTATGACCTAGGCAGAAATGTCCGCTGCTTGGTTGTTAAATAACTAAGAGTATACCCTGAAACAACAACTCGTTAACTAGCTCAGAAGCTAGCTAACTCTGCTCACGTCTTACGTCACGCTACAACTTCCGGAAATTACCTTGCTGTGAAACCATGAACTTGTTTAACTTTTGGCAGGAGAAAATGTTAATTTTACAATAAACTGTGTTTCTTTATATATGAAATTATACAAATATGAATAAAACAAAAAATTCAGGAAGAGTGAGTTAGGTAATATTTTGTCTTTAAGCAAAATAACTCCCGGAAGAGGCCTATGATTGTGGAAGGTGCACTTGTTTTTAACACCAGCGTTGACCGGATGATGTCGGCGACTCGAACTTCATAGATATTTCTCGAATGATACGGTATAATCTTTGACCCCTGAATAAACGAAACTATAAAAAGATAATGACACATAAATTACCGCATAACTGTGGGACTAAATTGATGATTTAAATGGATGAAAATATACATTTTCATCCATTTAAATTTTAAATAAATAATAATAATAATGTTAATTATAATTATGATAATAATAATAATAATGATTATTATTATTATTATTATTATTATTATTGTTGTTGTTGTTGTTAGATTTTTTTTATTATCATTATAATTATTACTACTTCTATTTTGTTATCATTATTGTGCTTACAGCCTGAATTAAAATGTTTTTCTTGTTCTTCTTTTAAATGTAAAGCCACAAATTATATTTTAATATTTTATATTTTATAGGTCAAAAGGTGCAGGCTAATTTGCCCTTTCAAGGAAACACAGATTTATTAGATAAAGTTTCCGAAATAAACAGTGATTTACTCACTGGTTTGATGTGCTGTGTCTTTATTTTCAGTTAAAAGTCAGGATTGTTCAAAAAACTGGTTTGAGCAAACTCAGACTTGATATAGTTAAGGTGAAGAGGGGGTAATGCTTGAGAACTTGAGGGGCTCTTTGCAGATAATTCATGACTTTTTTCCCTACCAAATTCAATCAGTTTTTAGTTGTTTTTTCTTTCGTTTTATATTTCTTTGTGAGGGTGTTGCTTTTTTCCCATTACGTTTCATAATAAAAATTCCAAATGACCTACATTACAATCAAGAACTAGCTATTATTTTAATCATTCTCTCTAGGAGGGGTCCTTAATTTAAAGGGCAAAGAAATTCTAGCTGTGAAGCATGTTTCACAAGAATAATGAAAATGTATCACTCAATGTTTGCAGCAAGGGTTATCACAAAGTGAGCAAGTTTTATCAATTATCAGTACACATCTACGGACAAAAACAGATGAACCAATGTCCCCCTGAGCTATGAAACCCAGAGAAGTGTTTATTTAGGAAAAAAAAAGCAGATTTTTCTGAATTTAAATCTTCATAAACAGAAAATTTGATTAATCGACAAAACTGATTAATCACCCAGCCTTAGTTCTGGCAAAAAAACAGGCTTAAAATTATTTAAAAACACCAAGAGGAGCGATGTTTGGACTAATTACTAAAACTGTGTATATATAACCAAAATATTTGTGAATTGAACATGAATCAGACTTAATACATTGATTTATACTCTGAATTGCATCGAACTAAATATATCAGAGCAAGTGGATGTTCTGGACCAAATTTCCCTAGCATCCAGGGTGGGATCAGTGTTTTCTATTTTATTGTTGTTGTTTTTTTTCTTTTAAATGGGGACACAGATTAAAATAATGATGATTAAAAACCACAAAAAAATGCTATTTTGGTGGGGAACCACAAAAAATGTTAAATAAAAGTAACATTTTTAGAAATCTTAACAACAATGTTGTATTCTTTTACACAGTTAAATAAAAAAATTTAATAAAATGTTTGCATTTTAAAAGTCTTTGTTTTATTTTTTGGCAATATATAATTTACTGCAGTTGAAAAGTGTGGAAAAGGCAGGCTGGGCTATTTCTAGGTGCAAAAACTTTCCTGTAAATTGAGAAAAGGGGGCCCAAGCAAGAAAAGTTTATGAACCGCTGGATTAATGTATGGGTTAAATAGCCCCTTTAATCGTTGCAGCTCCAGGCTGCAACGATTAAAGGTCTTACAGGGGATCCTGTCTTAATACAGCCAAAGCTAAAAGGGCAAACCTCAGTTTTTAAACCACTGATAGTAAAACTGAAGGTGAAAGTTTTTTTTTTCAGGTGGGGAATGGCGGTGGTTGGAGCAGTGCGCTTGTGCAAAAGGTTGCAAGTACCTGGTTCGATCCCCACAGCCTGCACTCTGGGTCCCTGAGCAAGACCCTTAACCCCACACTGCTCCCTGGGTGCCACACAGTGGCAGCCTACTTTTCCTTGAGGGGATGGGGTAAATGCAGAGAGTTCTTCTGTTCTGACTCTTGAAGGAGACGGTCACATCTTCCTGCACCTCCCTGCCTGTCCCTGCTTTGTAGTGTCTTGTCTTTTTCTGAGCTCTCTCTTCATATCACCCAAACTCAAAAAAAAGGGATCTGGTCGCTGGTCTCTCAATGTAATTGATCAAATTTACTCATCTGGAAGACAGGGAATAGGGGACATGTCCTGTCCTGCCGGGACATACTTCGTGGGATACGCCATGGACTCCTGGAAGGCTTGGAGGATGGCGTGTTTCATAATGTTGTCAGTGGAGGATACCGAAGATGTGTGGATTTTTGGTTCTATGATACTTTGATTTCTCCTGTTTGGATTTGGGGGATACTTGATGTATCTGCAATTACAGAGGATGTCGGCGGCAATTTGGGCACTGATCAGGCTGCCCGCAGCAGTTGACGCCCTCACAAAGGCTGTGAACGAGCACGATCTGGAGATGACCCGCATGCTGGGTGCAATTTAATGCAGTATAAAGTGTGAAAGATGTTTTTTCCCCCCTCTCTTCCCCAATGTGGCTCCCATCCACAGAGATAAAGGCAACACCATAGGTAACTGATTGGAACCTGGGAAGCCAGGTACGCGTGGCCTCAGTTAATCCGTTCGACCTCTCAACCACCCCACCCCAATGTATGCAATATATTGTGATGTTTGGTTTGTACTGAAACTGAAATCTCGATTGCAATGCAAATTGTAGTTGACAATAAAGATTGGTTGATTGATTTCGTTGCTCTGTACTTGTGACAGTGTAAAGACAAAACAAAGGTAAAACAAGGTATACAGTCAGTTATGGTTTCTATGCCAGGATTTGGTATTTACCACAGGGGCTGGGACACATTTTACAGGGGCCCCTGTCTAGAACCAACCTCGATCAGTGCTGAGTATTGACAGATATCTGGATAGAAGTTGTACCTATTTGTTGGAAAGGTGCAAAGAAATGATTGATGGCTCCCCCAAAGTTTAATAGAGGTCTAAAATTTGTGTTGTTGTTTTTTTAAATCACTGGTAAAATTTGTTATGATTGATATGATGAATGATATGATCATTCTGCTTCATTCTATCTCTCTCTCTCTCCCACTCTGCAGAATCTGTTAGTTCAATCTTTAACGTTCTGCTCTCTCTGCTTTTTTCAATAGTAGCTTCATCTGGTCTGTTCCTGTTTGGCTGTGACTCCATCCTGGAGAGAAATATCAGCTGTGCTGCTGCCATCAACACCTTTGTTTATACATGCTGGAGATCAGCCTGTTTTTCCAGTGTAGTCCTGTTTCTCTGACCATGACTAACTGGATGTGCTCTGTTCATCCTCTGACATGGGAGTTGGCTCGGAGATCGTCTGCCTGGCTGTGTGTTTCCTGGACGGGGCCGCCGTTTACAGTTGCCTTTTGTATCTCTGCTTCTGTCTCCTTGAACCCCAGTCGGCCTCGGCAGATGGCCGCTCACACTGAGCCTGGTTCTGCTGGAGGTTTCTACCTGTTAAAAGGGAGTTTTTCCTCTCCACTGTCGCTACAAGCATGCTTAGTGTGAGGAATTGTATTCGAGTCAATGAGTCGATACAATCAGCTGGTTTTCCTTTGATAGAAAACTTTGAATCAATTCGACTGTATGATCTTATGAACTGTAAAGTGCCTTTAGATAACATGTGTTGTGGATTGGCGCAATAGAAATAAACTGAAATGGATTCAATTATGATCCATTTTATTATTATCTCTGTTTGTTTTTTTTCCAAGCCACATGATGAAGATGCAGGATTATTAGTATCCCTCCTTTCCAGAATAAAGAGGAAGACTGTCATTAGAAGTGTCACCATGCCTACACTCTTTCACACCACTTACATAATTGTGAACCAAATCCAAGCAAATCCTTGGACTAATTGTATCACGTGGGACTCTGACTCCTTATAATTGGAGATTTGTTTGCAATTAAGAGAAATATTTGGAATTCCCTTTTGTTTATGTGTATTAAATAAGATCCTGGCACACATTATTCCAGATTAGTTTGTTTATGCCAGCAAACAGCCGTATTTTTATATTTATTTTGTACAAATTAATGTTCAAGCCTTTATAATGAGATCAATTAATGGGATTCGTCTGTGTTTGGGGTCTGAGGAGCCAGCGAGCTGCGTCCACCGCCCCCGACATTAACCCCTTGCTATTTCCAGAAACTTCCAGCCCACTTGCCTACGTCACCGGTGGGAATCTTTAAAGGGACCGTCGCCCCTATAAAATGTCTCAGTTCGCGGCAGCCAGCAGCAGCAATATGAACGCCGCGAAGACGCAGACGCATATCCCCGCCATGGCGACTAACGACAGCGAGCCTCTGCCGCTGGGCTGGGAGGTGAAGATCGACCCCCACACCGGCTGGCCCTTCTTCGTGGACCACAACAACCGAACCACCACCTGGAATGACCCGAGACACGACACCAGAAAGGTAACGGTCCGCGGATAAAGTTGCTCACTTAAAAAAAAAACCAAAAAAAAAAAAAAAAAAAACCGCCCAAATGCGCAATTTATACCGAGTTGCGTTTATGTGATTTCTAAAAGTTGGGAAAAAACAGATGCTGCGTTATTTTCTTATTATGACATGACTGTTGTTGCCTTTAGGCCTCGTTAGGCAGAGTCACCTCCCCCTCACTGACAGCTCATAAGCCTAATATAACAGATGACCATTCCCGTTTTATTCCCATGCCATGATCTAACACTATTATTACTCGGTGAGTCACTGGACTGCATGGAAAGGCTCGGATCCTTGTTTAAATAACGGGGTTCAGATCATAATAAACTTTTCCCTTACAAGGATTCAGTCTGCTCTGCCTTTCCTTCAGGGCTCAGGAGCCTGTATCAGACAGCAAAACTGACTGACCTATAATGATGATCAAAATGATAATAATAAATCAGAATGCGTTCAGGTCTGCAGTGAAAAGTGGTGGGCTGAGGCTCCACAGTCTGCCAGGCGGTAATCTTCCCTCTCAGGGACGGACTCTGTTTTCCAAAGTTAGTGTGCTGAGGAATCTGCTGGAAAGACACAGCTGTTGGGGGATAAAATTGGTGCAGCCTGCAGTGTCCTGTACAGGCAGAGGGCAAAGGGTCGTTCACAGCTATTTCACAACTGTGATGTTAGGAGAAAGGCCATTGGTTCATCCATTAATACAGTCTACTTTTTTTTCTTTTCTATGGATTTGTTTTTGAGAATGGGTGGGAACCTGTTGCTTGTTCTCAGAGGATGGCTCAACCACATTCTACATGAGGCATGTTTCATATGTGGGCCCACCTCCATTTAAAGGAAAAACATGGTTCTATTCAGTGGGTTGGCTGCTCAGTGGAGCAGTGGGTAGCAATGCTGCCTTGCAGCAAGAAGATTTGGGTTAGATTCCTGGCCTGGCTCTTTCTGCATGGAGTTTGCATGTTCTCCCTGTGCATGTGTGCATTCTCTCCGGGTACTCCGGCTTCCTCCCAAAAACATGACTGTTAGGTTAGGTTAAATGGTTTATCTAAATTCTCCTTAAGTGTGAGTGGTTGTTTGTGTCACTGCATGATCAGCTCATTTGCGCATCCAGATATAAATCCGGGTCATCTTCGATTTTATTTATTTTTTAAAAACCTAAATGACGTTTTCCCCTCCCCAAAAATAGTTAACATACTAAAATATCATGTGTTAAAGGTTAATAATGTATTTCCTTAGGAAATAAATGCCTTAAAATCAGTCTAATAAATCTATTTATCAGTCGCCTCTACCCGATCTGCAATGGAAATGGGATCCTATGTAAATCTAGTCTTTTTGAGTTTTATGTTTTCGTTTCATTTTAATCTTATGCTATAGATTGCATAATCTATAGAAGGAAACAACTACAATGCAGATAAACATGGTTTAATCATATTTTGCCAGACTGCCCATGAGCATGTCCCATGATGACAAGAGAGAAGCAGTTTAACGGAGAAAATGGGAAAAGCATAAAGATTGTCTCATAGAAGTCATAAAACTTTTTTGTTCAAAGATGTGTATTAGCATTCTTTGGTGAGTTAAGGATAGAAATAAGTAGTTTTAGTACCGTAATGTATGATATACATCTGTTCGCGCTTGGGCAGTACGGCTCGTCATTTACCAATTAGTATGACATATAAGAGAGCAACATTTGCACACCACGCCTTTGCGTACAGGAAGGCCAGCTCTGTGATTGGATGCCCTCTGGACTCAGTGCAGGAGGTGGGAAACAGACTGATCCTAACAAAATGATCATCTCTGTTGGATAATGTCTCCCACCCCATGCATGAACCTGGTGTTGAACTGGAGAGCTCGTTCAGTGACAGACTGCTGCACCCTTAATGCACCAGGGAGCGTTATCACAGATCCTTCCTTCCAGCAGCTTTAAGAGTCTATAACCATCACTGCTCCCAACAACATCAAGTTTTTACATTCATGCTAATTTTGCACAGTTTCTAATTCAGTCAGTTAAATAACATGCTGCTGTAATTTTGCACATCTCTGATTTTGCTGCTGTTTTCAAATATCCATTACTGTAAAAATGTCCACATCTGTATATTGGTTATTTATTCTCCAGGTGCATAGTTTATATTGTTAAAACGTTTCACTTATTAAGTGTATAACTTATTACACATTTTTCTAAGGTCCACGTTTGTGTGACCTATTTTTTTTCTTTAATCTTTTGCTGCTATAAACACCAGAATTTCCCCATTGTTGGACAATAAAGGGATTTTCTATTCTATTCTATTTGCCAGCTGATTTATAAGAATCTTCTTAATTGATGTCCTTATGATGTCACAATGAAGGAAAAAAAAACCATCAACATATGTGAGTAAAAACATAATTCGGGTTAAAAAAAAAGCTAAATATCTCTCTTAGAGCAACATATACGGAATACTGGCATGAAAGAAAGATGAACAATAAATTTATTAAATATAGTACACTTAACTTTTAAAATAAAAAGAGACAACAGATAAAAAAATTCTCCGTGATAATGCTCACAGCCTTTCCCTTTTAATTATGTTAAGGGGGGAGATGGCATTAGGAATAAATGAATGTTTATACCCATTGCTTTAAACAGAAGGAAGCCTGATATTTGCACCAGAGGGTAAAAGGTGAAATTAAGAGTTAAGAGGGTGAGCACTGACATCTGTTTATTTTTCAAATTTAATGTTCTCATAGACAGACTTAAACTGAATTTGAAATATGCAGTCCATTAGGACTGCATTAGCAGTTACAGACAGATTCAAAGCTCTATAATCTCAATCATCAGGATTGCTTCAAGCTGTATTTTCATTTGTGTTCCTTTCTGCTAAAGCTTTGCACAGTGTAGACTACATCAATGTGCAAAAACACTTTAGTACAGTATTTTAGTTGTGATACTTAGGTTATGAGCCTCTAGCTATTATGATCAAGTTTAAAGCAAGCAGAAAGACTTGCATTATCGAGCTTAGGTCTCTAAGAAGACTGGATGCACTGCAGCCATGCAAAGCAGTCACCAAGTCCTTACCATGGAGGGGGAATGTTTAAGCTCTTTTCTGCTAAATGAAAACAACACCTTGCTCCTTTAAAAAGTGGTTTACATTTTTATGTGTTTTATTAACGCACAGTTTAACAACGCAGGTGTAAATTTAACTCATTTTAACTTAATAAAAATAAATAAATAACGCTGTATTAAATGCTTCTCAGCCATAAAAATCAGAACCCTCTTAGAGATTTTGTCTGCATCTCACTGACAGGATTCTATTCTGTAGAAACAGTTTGATAGAATATTTTAGATGTTTAGAAACCATAATAGGGGAAGTGGTGGCAGAGTGGTTAGAGAGCAGATTATCCATCCTGAAGAGGCCCTAAGCTCATGGGTTAAAAAGAAACTTCTAGTCTGGGTCCCTTAACAAGACCCAGAATGCTTTCATATTGCTGTCTGCTGCTTGATGAGGGAAGGTGTGAATTCAGGGGGCAAATACTGCTGGACAGTACAATTTCAATGCCAGTAATATAATAAAAACATTACCTTTTTAAAGCATTTTTTTTGCATCAATGCTTAGTATGAGCTGTGAATTAAATCACCTATTGCATGTAGCAGCATTGCAGTGGATATGCCCCATATGATGAGCAGGTCAGCCATTGTTTCTCTTGTTCAAGAAATTTAAGAAAACTCAAATGAATACAAACATTTTCTTCGTTCCACAAGTATAAAAAAGTATATATATTTTTATTTTGTTTCCATTTGTATGTACCAAAAAAACGTCTTGAGTAAATGGGAACTATCTCAAATTTCTAATATCCTCAAATATGATGAGCAAAGCCTTAATCCCTTTATTTTCAGTCGGATTCAAACTCATAACTTCTATACTACGGCAGGTTGTTATCTGTCCTCTTAAGCAGATGTTTAACAATCCGCATCTTACTGGCGGTTCTGATTTCTGGCTTTAATTGGCTGATTTCAGACTTCTATCCAAACACTATTACATATTAAAACTTATCTGTTTATCTTAGTCTGAGCTCAACAATGAAGTGTGATCTATTGGATAGATTACAATGAAAAGAATCAGGTTCATTCATTTATTAAATAATATTTAAAAAGATACTTAGATCACCTTCTATTTATGAGTATTTGAGTCATTAGTCTATATTGCCAAGAGTCACTCTTAAGCTATTGTGTGAGGAAATTAGTCAGCTAATGAAGTCAGAGCAATTATTTTTAGGCCTAAAATGTTAATAGAATAAAACACCGCCTAGTGTTTGGTTTTTCCGTGTTGAACTGCCTGTCAGATGTTTTCTTTTTTTTTTTCCCAGAGCACATGAATGAGACTTTTAGCACCACTTTGAGAAAATGTTGAGCCTCACCCATTTCAGACTGAGCATGCTATTGTCTTTTTTTGGTTTGTTGTTTTCCTGCAGTGCGCTATAGACTGGGGACAGTCTCAATGCGCATCTTACAAAATGCATTTAATATATCTAATAACGCTTTCTTTTATAGAACATCAATAACCACGTAATAATATAGTAATAACATAGCAAGTCACACTATATTACTTGGTTACAAAAAAGCTTTATTTGGTAATTACCCCAAAATTGAGATATATAATTTTAACATAATTACCTGTATGTAATTAATACAATTGTATGTTACTAAGTAACAATGGACACATTTGATGGGTAATAACATTAGGTTACAACATAACGGTTTATATTATTGGCCACCAACTACCACCAGATTACAAAGTAAATTGTAACTTATGATTGGGTAGCTAAAGCATTATAAAACTGAACTCAAGTTACATAAAAATAAGAGTTTAGTTAAGAAGATTGGCATGCTGTCTTCTAGGTTTGGTTTTCTGTTATATTTAATAGATTTTAACACATTAATTTATTGCTGTTGGTGAAATGACTGAGTTTCCTGGTAATAACGGTTTCTATTATTGGCCACCAACTACCACCAGATTACAAAATAAATGATAACTTATGATCAAGTGACTAAAGCATTATGGTTTTTCAGTTATGATTATTTTATTATATATATATATATATATATATATATATATATATATATATATATATATATATATATATATATATATATATATATATATATATATATATATATATATATATATATTACAAAATAAATGATAACTTATGATCAAGTGACTAAAGCATTATGGTTTTTCAGTTATGATTATTTTATTATATATATATATATATATATATATATATATATATATATATATATATATCTTTTTATTATTGTTTTTGTCTGTGTATGGACCATAATTGTGTCTAAATAAAGAGATTGATTGATTATAAAACTGTACAGAAGTTACATAAAAGGAACAGTTTAGTTAAAAAGATTGGCTTGCTGTCTTCTAGGTTTGGTTTTCTATTATTTGCCAAGTAATAAACTGCATTTTAATAGATTTTAACACATTCATTTATTGCTGTTGGTGAAATGACTGAGTTCCCTGGTAATAACGGTTTGAAATCTAAGAAGTCTGACCTTTCCTTGTCTGCCTAAAATTTAAAGCACGGCACTTACCAATATTTCCATAAAGTTTTTGTTCTTACCTTGTAATATAGTAACTTGCTATGTTATTACCATGTTATTACATAGTTATTTATGTGCTATAAAAGAAATCATTACCAATATATCTGTGCTAGTAAGTTAAGCTCTGCATAAAAATCTGTTTTTTTCCTGTAAAAAATAGAGCAGACACTTTTGTTGTATATAAACATAGTTATTTATGCTCCGTTCCATCGTAGACATTTATTAGATGCCACTAAATAATGGAATTGCTTACATCCAGTCAATTTTCCTCTTGCAGGTTCGAGAAGTATCATCAAATGGGCCGAGTGCACCAACAGAATCAAGCCCCCTGGAGCCTCCAAAGACCTTTGTGAGAGAGATGAAGCACCCCATTCTACGACCCGGTTATATTCCCATCCCAGTCTACCACGACGGAGCAGATGTGAGACAGCAGCAGCATCCCTGCTACTCCTACATCCAGCCAGTCCCTGCACAGAACGTCAGGACGGAAGGTGTGACGCCTTCCCAGACATCTGGGCTCCATCACAGCAGACCTAAATCACCTTTGCTTGGACCCTCTGACGCGGAGTCTGGGAAGGGCGGCGCAACAGTCTTACAAACATCAGAGGTACTTTATGATTATATGATGCCTTTCAAATCTATCTGTAGCAGAAAAACAAAACCTTTAGTGTTTACACAAAAGCTGCTGTTAAAACATAAATCTTATGTACCTGATTAAAAAGAGCCAACATCCTTTGTTCATTTCAGATTTCAGGATGTCTATTCTAGAGCTGAGGGCTGTAGAAAAAGCAGTATCTATGGAAACTGAAAACTGAATTATAAACCCATAAAAAGGAAGTATGTCTAGGTCTTTATATTAAAAACAATATGGCTTTCATTGCTAAATTAACCCAGATGACTGAGAAATTAACCCGGTATATTCCTGATTTATAAACCTCAACATATCAGGAGTTCAGTGACTTGGAATCGATGAGGGCCATCAAAATTTGGGGAAAATAAAAAGGTATAAAAAGTAATATTACTTCTTGAGTTATTACATATTTTGTTACATCACAATCACATAGTCCAGTTAAAGAGATCTTATCTGTAGGGCTGAAACAATTAATCAGATTAATAATCATTTTTAGTAATCGATTAATTGTTAATTGGAGTGTAGAGACTTTAAAACGTGCCTTTAGATGACAGAGCGACTGACTTAGAGCAGTAATTATACCAAGATTGTAAAACATTTTGTGTTTAAGATTAAAAAAAACTTTTTCGTCTTTTAATATGCTCCATCCAGAACTCCTCAGTGGAAAAGTTTTAGTTTTACCTGATTTAATTCTGTAAAAAACTCTTCTTTTGCTATCCGATTATTGATCGACAAATCGAAAAAATAATCGTCAGATTAACTGAAATGCAAAATAATAATTAATTGCAGCCCTGCTTATGTGACTGAGCAGTAGAAAGAAATGCATAATTTTGACGTTAAAGAACAGCCGTTTAGTTTTTGAAACGGTTTTATATTAATAAACCTCAAGTCTGCCGGTCATTTGTGTTTCTTCCCCTTTACTCTGACTCTCTGCCAAATAAATCACTCCAACCCAGACACTGTATGTCTGCCAGTGAATAATTGGTATAGTGCGTTGGTTGTATTAGAGGCAGATGGCCACAAACTGAATAGTTTCATTTTGTTTTCCAAGGTAAATGCAGCCCCACACCACCAGCCTGCACGGCCCAGCAGCACCGGTCTGCAGCCCGGGTATATCCCCATCCCGGTGATCCACGAGGGAGGAGGCGGCCAAACCACGCCTCATGTGAATCCTTCAGTCTACAGTCAGCGTGTTCCATACTCTGAACATCAGCAGCCCTTTCATCGCCTTCAGACAGACGACTGGCCCGGCTACTCTGCCGCAGCACAGCCCTCCAGAGAAAGAGCTTCTCCCACTACTTTTCCCCAACTTCGTGACGGGGCGTCTGTTCACCTGCCACCTCATGTGAGGAGCCATTCACCTGTTAAAATCCAGGTGATGGGGGACAGGGCACAGGTAAATTCTCTTATGCATTTATTTCTTTCCCTTTAAATATTCGGAGTTTTAAATTAGTTTGACTGATGAGCCTGATCAGGGTTTCTGCGGGTCATTAAAAGTCATTAAATTATTATTTTTTTAATTAAGGCCTTAATTGGCAACAATATTCACTAAATGTGATTATCATGGCATTTAAAATGCTTTATTAAAATAAAAAAAATGTTAAATATATCAGCTTAACTTTTTCCAGCTGTTTGCGTGGAACTGCTCCTGGTGGATCCTAAAGCCATATGTTCGGAACAGAAGTGCAGAAAATGCAAATTTTAACATAAGTGGCTGGAAAACGAGAAATTCGGGACATGGCTGCAGCCTGTCGATGGTAAAGATTACGAAGGATTTGGCCGTGTTTATATATATCAGGGTTCCTGCAGGTCCTTAAAAAGTCTTAAAAGGCATTGAATTCTTCAAAATAAAACTAATTAAATGGTATTAAAATGTCTTAAATCAGTCTTTCGTAGGTCTTAATTTTTAAAACATCATAAATAGGATTATTTTTATTATGATTTATTTTTGTAATCTAAATAAAACATTAAAATTGACCTTTTTTTTTTTATTATTTAAAAAAAATAGCGGCTCGCCATTATTGGTTCCGTCCCGAAAGCGGAACCAATAAAAGCGTTGTTGAGGCCGGGACATTTGGGAGATGCACCATTAACTTTTTGTCTGGAAAATATGAGCAAGTGTAAATGTAACCAAAATTGTCTCCAGCCAAGAGTTTTCTCCATGGATAAAACCAGGGAACATACATGAGGCTCAGTGGATTTAGTGCAGGAAGTCATTCAAGCTCAGAACGATGGGAATTAAGGCAGTGGAGTCGCACATGCGAAGCGCGAAACACAAAGCGTCAAAATCGAGTTACCGAGAAACAGCCGGTATTTCTCAGTTTTGTTCCACCCTTGTCTCTGCAACGCCTCCACTTATCACCAAATCAAACATACTAAGAAAACGATACAAAGAATAATAGCTGCAAAAAAGACTTAGCACTGGTTATGTTGTGGCTTTAAAACTGATTTGTTTTGTTTCCTGGTAAAACAAAGTTTGAGAATTCAGTTAAATAATTGTTCAAATATATCTGTCATTTGTGTGTTTTTAGCTTTCTTCCTGTATGGGAAGCTTTTCAAAATTTGAAACATTAGTGCAGTGGTTTATGTTAAAATAAACCTTTGGGTTAAATTGTCGCAGGCAGGTTTTTCTTGTGTTTCTTTTGAATTTGGTCTTAAATTTTTATTTCAAGTGGCATTAAAAAGTCTTAAAAAGTCTTAAAGTCTTGAATTTCACTTGCCTTATGCTGTAGGAACCCTGTGTGTGTATATATATATATATATATATATATATATATACACACAGGGTTTCTACAGCATAAGGCAAGTGAAATTCAAGACATTAAAATGCATTAAATTAAGTTCCTCCTTCCTGTATAAATCCTGCTGTTTATGATGCCAGGAATAGTAGCTGAGCTGAATGTCGGTCGCTATAGATCCACATCTAGAGAGCTTCCTTTTATGAATAGGACAAGAGGATGAATCCTCTAGGAAAAGCTAGACTACTCGTCCATTTCCGAACATGTCAGCTGAGGTTAGTCAGGTATATTGTCAGGTTACATCTTGGGCAATGGCGTAACGACACAACAATAGGCCCATAAGCAACATTAACTGGGTGGGCCCCATATGAAGTACAACACGTGATAAAGGTTCAGGATACGGCGACAGTTCCATAAATCAGCCAAGAAGATATATAAATATATTATGGGCGCCATCATGTTGATTTGGTTGTTTAACTCTAGAGAGAAGTAGTACCGTAGATCGTCACTAGGAGGCGAGGAACCGTGCTAGTGAAGTATTTACAGGTGCTGGTCATAAAATTAGAATATCATGAAAAAGTAGATTGATTTCAGTAATTCCATTTAAAAAGTGAAACTTGTATATTATATTCATACATTACATACAAACTCATATATTTCAGATGTTTAGTTTGTTTAATTTTGATGATTACAAATGACAACAAATGAAAATCTCAAATTCATCATATCAGAAAATTAGAATATTACTGAAGACCAATAAAAACAAAGGATTTATAGAAATGTTGGCCAACTGAAAAGTATGAACATGAAAAGTATGAGCATGTACAGCACTCAGTATTTAGTTGGGCCTCCTTTGGCCTGTATTACTGCAGCAATGCGGCGTGGCATGGAGTCGATCAGTCTGTGGCACTGCTCAGGTGTTATGATAGCCCAGGTTGCTCTAATAGTGGCTTTTAGCTCTTCTGAATTGTTGGGTCTGGTGTATTGCATCTTCTTCTTCACAATACCCCATAGATTTTCTATGGGGTTAAGGTCAGGAGAGTTTGCTGGCCAATTAAGAACAGGGATACCATGGTCCTTCAACCAGGTACTGGTAGCTTTGGCACTGTGTGCAGGTGCCAAGTCCTGTTGGAAAATGAAATCTGCATCTCCAAAAAGTTGGTCAGCTGCAGGAAGCATGAAGTGCTCTAAAACTTCCTGGTATGTGGCTGCGTTGACCCTGGACCTCAGAAAACACAATGGACCAACACCAGCAGATGACATGGCACCCCAAACCATCACTGACTGTGGAAACTTTACACTGGACTTCAAGCAACGTGGATGAAGTGCCTCTCTTCTTTTCCTCCAGACTCTGGGACCTTGATTTCCAAAGGAAATGCAAAATTTACTTTCATCAGAGAACATGACTTTGGACCACTCACCAGCAGTCCAGTCCTGTTTCTCTTTAGCCCAGGCAAGACGCTTCTGACGCTGTCTGTGGTTCAAGAGTGGCTTGACACAAGGAATGCGACAGCAGAAACCCATGTCTTTCATACGTCTGTGTGTGGTGGTTCTTGAAGCACTCACTCCAGCTGCAGTCCACTCTTTGTGAATCTCCCCCACATTTTTGAATGGGTTTTGTTTCACAATCCTCTCCAGGGTGCGGTTATCTCTCTTGCTTGTACACTTTTTTCGACCACATCTTTTCCTTCCCTTCGCCTCTCTATTAATGTGCTTGGACACTGAGCTCTGTGAACAGCCAGCCTCTTTAGCGATGACCTTTTGTGTCTTGCCCTCCTTGTGCAAGGTGTCGATGGTCGTCTTTTGGACAACTGTCAAGTCAGCAGTCTTCCCCATGATTGTGTAGCCTATAGAACTAGACTGAAAGACCATTTAAAGGCTTTTGCAGGTGGTTTGAGTTAATTAGCTGATTAGAGTGTGGCACCAGAGGCCATCAATTTTGAACCTTTTCACAATATTCTAATTTTCTGATATGATGAATTTGAGATTTTCATTTGTTGTCATTTGTAATCATCAAAATTAAACAAAATAAACATCTGAAATATATGAGTTTGTATGTAATGTATGAATATAATATACAAGTTTCACTTTTTAAATGGAATTACTGAAATCAATCTACTTTTTCATGATATTCTAATTTTATGACCAGCACCTGTAAATGGTCGTAAGGAACAGAGCTTTGCACGGTTAACTGATCCAAGCTCGGCATGGATCGGTTCTCAGAGGGGGGAGTAAATGGGGCTTATGCTTGCTCTTTTGGGGGTTTTCTGGGTATTTCCAACTGGAAGGAAATCCCAGTGCAGGCAAAGAAACAATTTACAGAAAATAAAGTTTTTCACTTGCATCAATAAAACAGCTTCCTTTTTTTTTTTTCTTTGTACACTTTTAAGGCTCCACAGCGTGTCCTTTCACGAGAACTGCCCCAAAAGATGGAGCAAGAGCATCAAAGCGTGCAGCAGAAGCCCAGTAACACACCGGGAGCTCAAACTCCAAACACAGAAGCAGACGTCCCAAAGTCTCAGCAACCAGAGCCGCCTCAGCAGCTCCAACAACCTCAGCACTTCCAAGAGCCTCAGCAGTTTCAACAAGCACCACCTCAAACGCAGCACGAACTGTCCCCGCAGGCTCAGAAGCAGGAGCCGCCGCAGCACCATATGGCTGACATCACGGTGCAGATCCCTCCAAAACCGGAAGCCAACGAGGGACCGACTACCCCCACAGAAGTCCCACATGCACAGGCGGAGGTCGAGCCAGCAGTTCAGTGCCCAGTCCACCCGGGATTGGCTAAAGTGCAGCAAATCCTCGAAAGAGTGGCTAAATTGGAGCAGGAGGTGAAAAGCTTCAGTGGAAAGAAGAATGATAAGAAGTACTTGCTCCTGGAGGAGCTCTTGACCAAAGAGCTGCTGGCATTGGACTCTGTTGACCCAGAGGGCCGTGTAGATGTACGGCAGGCGAGGCGGGACGGAGTCCGCCGCGTGCAGACCATACTGGAGGAACTGGAGCAGCTGGAGGAGCAGCCTGCCGGTGTGACTGGAACGGAGGGAGGCAGTCTGACACAGAAAGGGGAGCCCAGCATGATCAGCGAGAACATCGAGATGGCGAAGGAGATATCGTAAAGACTGAACCTCAAAACAGGGAGAAAACGAGTCCACTCAGGCTATTTCTCCTATTCCTCAACATACAGCATTTGTGAAAGTTGCATGCATTGGTTCAAAGTGTTAAAATGTCCATAAAGCACATAATTGATGGTAGCTCAGTGGAACCTTATCGTCCCGGACTTTATTGTTGCCTTTTCTGTTGTTCTAGTGTCTTTAAACGAAAACTGAACTCATCAGTGAGATTTTCACAACACTGTTAAATGTATTATTGTCAAAGTAAGAGGCCTTCGTGTTAACGTGGGAGAGAAAGACGAGTATTTTCCTAAGAAATTTTATTTGTAGTTGCCTTTTTGTCTGATTACCCAATGAGATTTTTCCTAATCTAGTCAGAACACAAGTTAGGCTTTGAAGCAGAATGCCTGAGTCAACAGAAGCTAATTCCTCCCAGTGACTGCCATCTGGTGTTGTTGGAGCTGCTTTGTCACAAAAACACAGTGCATTTGTTTACTACATGCTGCTTTAAGGCATATTGCTGATTTTTGCCGTCTTTGCACTTTGCTGTTTCTAAGAAAAAATCAGGGTTCCTGCATGTTTTTCTGTTGAAATCCAATTTTATTTTCCAGATGAAGAAAAAATATGAGATTCCCCAAAGTTCTCTGTTTATTTTAATGAAATTCACAAAATGTAAAACGAAAAAGTTCAGCATATACCACAGATGTTTTAACACTAAGGCTTTAAATATGGAAACTGCTATAACACTAATGTGGAGTGTTGCATACATGAAGATAGAAGATCCATTTGGACAAGGCAATAACATCTGGAAATCTTTTTTTTTTTTTTTTTGGTCCATATTCTGTTTTATTTTTCATTCCTATCCAGATCTGGAACATTAGAATTAATTTCCAAACAGTTCCAGCCTGTGAAGGAACCCTTAAAGATGCATCATGCTGAAATTCAGCAACACGTCGACTCACAGCGACTCATCGCAGCAGGTTTTTTTCACTTTCTGTGTTAAAAGTGTAAATGTACACTGGTTTTCTTGCTGCTGCAGACCATGATACCAGTATTTCTATGAGATTTCTATGAGTATTTTTGGTACATGAATGTGTAATGTCTACTGGGGGGGATGGGGGGTGTACTTTACTTAAGATGTGAGACAATCAGTAAATATTATCGACTGTCAGAATGTCCTCATACATCAACCAAAGCCACAATCTGTAATAATAACCCATCATGGGCCGTTGAAGCCTTAATGTCACCTCTGTGGAAAAAAAGACCCAACTAATTCAGTGTCCCACCTCCTGGAACTGTTTAGTTCTACCCCTGAGTTTATCTGAATTCATTTGCCACTCTGAGATTGTAAGCCATCACAGCCTGACATGCACTCACAAATTATGGATCGTGGCTTAGTGCTCATCAGCAGCTGGCAGATTCATAGACAATAGAAAGTCACATTTGTATAATTGAAAATAAAATGTTTTGACTGATTCAGTTTCCTGCTTTTATATAACATGTTTATAATTTCCGTGTACAATAAAATATCAAAGATTGTTTACTGTTATATTTACTCCTTATTTTCAAAGACAGGAACCAGTAAGCAGGTCATTAACTCAACTAAAGCTGACCTTATTTATCACATGAAGAGGCAGGACTTGTGTCCCTGTTTGGTCTCCATCTGTTGTCAGCTGCTTTCCCCTCAGGACCCTTTGAATCATGACTGAGCATATTTTCCAGGCCTTCGCCCATTGTTGGGTTAGCGTAAACAAGATGTGACAATTTGAAACTCTTAAAAAGTATTCTTTTGTTTGGAAGAGTTGAAGGAGAAATTTGATTTCTTTATTTTGAAAATAAATAAATAAAAAATGTCTGCATCTAAATGAACTACAAAACATAAAATAAATGTGCAGCACATCAGCTCAAACACCTCATGCTAACTGCAAAGCATGGACGTGATGAAAAGGGGCTGTTTTCATACATTAAGTGTTTGGAACAGTCATAAACTCCCCCTGCAAAGCAAAGATTTCTACATTGAGATGTGAAACAAAATGCAACACCCTAAAGGTCTTGCACAGCTACCTTAAAGCAGTGCAAAAAATAATCTGTTCTAGTTTAATATTTTATGTACACAAAGGTGAAAATCCTTCAAACAGTAGAAACAGCTGCAAATGGTTTCATTTCTATACCATAACCTGAGCAACGTTTTTTAAAAGAGTAACATGAAACTAGAAATCTGTTATTTCTACATCAGCAAACATTACTTTATATATATATATATATATATATATATATATATATATATATATATATATATATATATATATATATATATATATATATATATATATATATCCCCTAAATTGTTTAGAACAATTGTGGAGGATCATAGCGCTTGTTAACTTCTGGTCCGCTCCATGGATCAGGCCAGACAACAGTTAAATTGAGAAAATTTATGTTTTCTGCTCAACGTTATCAATTATAGTGCAGATCAAAGATAAAGTCTGGTTATTTCTTTCTTTGCTGTTAAAAGATAGTCATGCACTTGCGTCCTCTTCATTCCTCAACTTAACCACAAGAGACATTTATGGACTATTTCTTACTCAAACTCGACTCTTGATGTGTTTTTTCCTCTTCTTTTACACAAAAACAGCTTTTATGTCCCATCTTCTCTTCATAGTTTTGGTACCCTTGGTCTGGATAACAGTGGTGAAGCCAGAAATGTTTCATAGGGATGGCTGAAAACTGATGGGAGCTGAAGCCATTTAAGGGTCAATCTACACTAATCACATTGTACCAACAAGAAAAAAAAAAAAAAAGAGTAAAACCTCCATATTTTCCAATCATATCACTGAAGATATCATAGATTCTCATGTAGGTCTTGCACATAAATCTACTTGCATATTAACACATCTAAGCTGTCTGTATTAAACATGCATGGTTCTCCATAACATACACATTAAACGGTTATGGAGTTGTTTAATTACATAGAAAACTCAGATGAATCTTTCATAATACACAAAAACAAAAGCTCCACTGCTGTCAAGTTGAGCTGTGGGTCACACATGAGTCTTCCAGCAACAAATCTGACCCTCTCAAGATACATAGGCAAGTTTTAGAGAAGAGAGGCCTGCACAGAGCATCGATAGACGGCGATATAAATTAATATAGAGCTAAAAATAATTTCTTATATCTAAAATTAAGCTTCTACTTGGGTCAAATGTACTGTACATTTAGTCAATTAAGGGTTAATATATGAACAATTAGGATGCCAAATTAATTAGGACATTTAACTTGGGACAGTATGGCAAGCCGTTTTAACATAAATTCGGTTTCGTCTGACCATCCATAATTACATTCCATATCTCCTAACCTTAAAATAAATTTAAGAAATCTTGAATTATGGTGGAATTAAATATTAAATGATATTTTAAATTAGAATTATGACTATTCAAAACTAAGATCGAGATATCTTGAATTTACTTTATGACTAGTCGTAATTAAATTGTAGATATCTGAAATGTGTATTTCAGATAATCAGTAATTCATTCTAGATATCTTAAATTGACGCCTCCATACAAGTTAATGGTAAGACACTGTCACTGCTGCCACCCTCTGGGTTATAAGGGAACTTGTTAAATCAGAAAATCAGCCAACAGGGCAGGCAAATGATTATGGAAACCGTTTTATTTATTTATTTTTTTATTTCAAATATCAGCATACCAATATCTAAGATTATAAACGCTGGTTAACGTAATCCGATATCAGTTCTATGGCTGATATTGGGCTGATATCCAGTATCAGATCAAGATATCCTTTATAAGCATCAGCTTTTGAAGTGTAATACTTTTTTTTTTTTTTTTTTATGATGATATACTCTGACAGAAAAAAACTGTTTCATCCCTTGGAACAATTTGATATTTTGCCTTCTTAATTCCTTTTGATAATTATTTAGAAATTAATTTATATCAATAACAACAAATGTTGAGATAGGATCACAATTTTCATCAGGAGTCTGCTAATTTGGGTGTGTAGCACACTTAATATCCTAAAAGATGCGCACTTACCTTGTTTCAGTTTTTTTAATATTTATGATTCTATTACTATTATTATTATTATTATTATTATTATTATTATTATTATTATTATTATTATTATTATTATTATTATTATTTCCTTCATGAAAATACATTGGGCCTACCCTGGCACCCATGGATAATGTCGTGTAGAACCTTGTTTAATTAAATTTTCTTTGCAGCAAAGGTATTCAGGTTCCAGTTACTCCACCTGTATGGAGACAAAGAGAGTCACAAAAAAAAAAGTGATTTCAAATGCAAATGTCTATTTGAATCATAGAATTAGAAGTCCAATTTCAAAAACATTTACTAATTGTACATTTTAAAGTTCATTATTAAAGAGGAACTGTAAATTATATGTATCAGTCCATTGTTAAATGCTGCAAATTGAAAATGTATTTTCAAATCCTATTCGTAAATAGAGATTTTAAAACCATAATTCATTAATCTTATTGTAAATACCTTTCAAAATTACCCTTTTTGATGTTCCACTGTAAATAAATATCTCCCACTATAAAAACTCATCATAAATATCAGTTTTTAATCGCTAACCAGGTCTTACGTGACTCATTAAGTGACTCAGAGATTGAAGAGTTCAGTTTTATTTCTATCCGCGTCCTGCTGTACCTGTGATGACGTTGATGACGTTGACGCCGCGTCACGTGTTGCTGTTTGGAGCAGGAAGCTTCGCTTACGTCCCGAACGGCGAGTCAGTTCCCCCCCAATCATCGATGAGTGTCAGAGCTCGCGCTGCCCCGGTGCGTGTGGGAAGGCTGTCGCTCCTCCTGTCACAGGAACTTTGAATATCAGTATGTAGAGGCGGAATAAGCAAAACAGACACGGTTCCAGCGGCTGTTAGCTGTGGACGCAGCTAGCCGCCGTATCCCATCAGTGGGCAGCCGTTGAAGAGAAAACGAGCTAACCGCGGCTAGGCTAGCTCCGGTGTTCACCTCCGAGACGAGGAAGAACCGCGACTGGTCCCTGGAGACAGATTCGGTTACGGGGGTTTGGTTTGAAAAGAAAAGGGGGATTTAAAGAAAACAATGGAGCTATTTCAAGCTAAGGACGAGTACATTCTTCAGAGCGGGGACCAGGCTCTGTGGTGCAGCAGGAAGGACGGCAGCATGGCAGTCAGACCTGGTAGGTACTGATGACAGCTGAAAATGCCTCCTGATGGCTTTTATCACAATACCCCCACTATTTGTCTTTCTTTTATTATTTCGATTCGTCTTTCTTCCCCTGTCTTCTCAGACATCCGCTCGCTTCGACTTGAAACCCGATATTTATCAGTAAATCTGATCAAACCGGCTGATCTGTGTCAAATTAAATAAAACCCTCCTTTTGACACGGAGGGACTGTTTCTAATGTAAATCCTCTCTCTAGCAGAGTGCCCACACCCCGATCAGACTCCAAACTTGTCAGCCTGCTTCTCAGGTTACAAACCGAGGCTTGAATTTAACCGCTTTTATTGAAACACGCCACTATGCAGGAATGTGCAGCAGTAAATAACAAACACAGCATGTGTTCAGGAACTGATACCACCATGGGAAAGATCACAGCTTTGCCTCATTGCTATAAGTTTTCTGACTGATATAATTTCTTGAATTACAGTTCCTTTTAAACGTGCAGTACTTTACTTTGGATGTATTGCTTAAATACAATCATGTTTTAAACAGATAAGTTAAATTTACCCTCTAAATTAAAGGCTTCAAGTTAGTTTTAAGTAATTCAATTAATCTCAAGGCACGTTACAGTTCACCAGATCATACAGTCAAATTGATTCAAAGTTTTCTATCTAAGGAAAGCCAGTTGATTGCATTGATTCGGATGCAATCCCTAACACAATGCATGCTTGTAGCGACAGTGGAGAGCAAAAATTCCCTTTTAAAAGGAAGAAACCTCCAGCAGAACCAGGCTCAGTGTGAGCGGCCATCTGCTGAGGCCGACTGGGGTTCAAGGAGACGGAAGCAGAGACACAAACAGCAACTGTAAAAGGCGGCCCCGTCCAGGAAACACACAGCCAGGCGGAAGAGCTCCAAGCCAGCTCCCATGTCAGAGGAGGAAGAGAGCACATCCAGCCAGTCACAGTCAGAGAAACAGGACTACACAGAAAAACAGACAGATCTCCAATATCTATAAGCAAAGGTGTTGATGGCAGCAGCACAGCTGATATTTCCTTTCCTTTTGCATTTTACGCAAAAAGTACTGTAGCGACTATCAACCACCTTTTTGTCGCTTGTGGGTGCGGGGAATCTGGAATTTAACACGCTTAAAAGATTATGTCGAAACCAGGATATAAGGTATGGGCGTTCCCATTTATTGAAGTACGTTTGTATATGAACAAACTTTCCAAACAATCCGAGTGGCGGTCTTTACAACAAGTGAGATGGACAGGTAACTATGGAGAATGTGAAAATA